TACTGCCTCATGATAAAGAACTTGCCACCAAATACTGCATCTGAATTGAAGTGATAACCTATGAAAAAATCACCCATATTTCTTTGAATTTGCTTGGATGCTTCGTGATTGAAGTATTTAAACTTCTGTGGTCTTTGTTGTATTCTCGGTATGAAAACTAAGTTTAAAGTATAATGTGTGTGTAATGTAGATCTCAGTATTCATTATCAAAAGGATCCCTGAGTTTGTAAGTTTTGACTTTAATTTAGGTCCTTGACATATTGATTATTTGTATGTTGTTGTGGTATTTTCTATTGGATTCCATTTTCTATGGTTGTAGAAAGTTGTCTTTTATTTCTTGATTGTATTCAATTGGAAATTACATTTTATTCTTTTTCATAGCGGTATGAGCTTGATAAAAATTTTACGAACACTGTTAAACATTATGCAGCGCTAAGTCTTACTTCAAATCATGATAACTTGGTCCAACCAGTGAAGAAAGTGCGCATGCATCTTCCATCTGCAAGTCGCATACTGCTCCCAGACGGCAGGAACTTGGCTTATCATGAGCTAGGTGTTTCAGCAAACAGAGCTAGATTCTCTGTGATTGCTCCACATTCTTTTCTTTCCTCCAGACTTGCAGGTAGAATAGATCAATCTGTGGTTCATTAAGAAAGTGGTATTGATGAAATTTGTATGCATGGTATTGGTCAAAATTGGGGCAGAGTCATTACTGATATTTTAAAAAAAAAATTGTACTATGAAAGGTATACCTGGTGTCAAAACGTCACTGCTTGAAGAGTTTGGTGTTCGCTTGGTGACATATGATCTTCCTGGCTTTGGAGAGAGTGATCCTTGTCCTAGCCGGAATCTTAACTCATCAGCATCAGATCTACAGGACCTAGCGGATTCTGTTGGTATCAGTGGCAAGTTTTGGGTGCTGGGTTACTCTAGTGGAAGCATGCATGCTTGGGCTGCACTGAAATATATTCCTAACAGAATTGCAGGTAAATCAATCTTTTTTTTTTATATGAATGCATAATCTCTAACTACTTTTTTGCTACTTAACAAGGTCAGCATCCTGTTATGTAGCAGGCCCTGGACTTATTTATATCAAGTTTAGGAAACAATTGCGTTGTACAGTTTTAAATAATTATTTTTACTCTTATTTTGATAACTGGACTAAATCTTCTCTCACTAATATAACTTTATTGTGAATTTTCTGATGTCTTCGCTGGTTCTGCAGGTGCTGCATTTTTTGCCCCTATGATTAATCCATATGAATCAGGCATGACTAAAGAAGAAATGAGAAGAAGTTGGGAAGAGTGGTTACCTAGGAGAAAATTAATGTTTTTTTTAGCTCGTAGATTTCCAAAATTGCTTTCACATTTCTATCGTCAAACCTTCCTATCTGGAAAGCATGGACGAATTGACAAGTGGATGTCATTGTCGCTTAGCAAGAAGGTAATCTATTTTATCTTTCTCAACAATCAAAACGCTTCCAAGCATTTTCATTTGCGTCTATCACATATTTCTCTGTTAGTGATTGCATGGTTGGTTTTAGTGATAGCTGTTGTTGGTGAAGTTTTCATGTTTTAATTTAAGAATGCAATTTATCATTTTTCTGTTATAACGGAGTTTTTCCCCTTATTGGATAATCTGCCTTAACTAGCTGCAACGTATACATTATTTTTTGAGACATTTATGTGATTTGAATAACATACGCTTGATATTTCAGGATGAAGTTCTGATTGAAGGGCCAATCTTTGAAGAGTTTTGGCATAGAGATGTAGAGGAGTCTGTTCGCCAGGGAAATACAAAACCATTCATTGAGGAAGCTGTGCTACAATTGTCCAACTGGGGTTTCAGCCTGGCAGATCTTCAGGTGCGGAAGGAGTGCCAGAGAAGAGGGATTCTTCCTTGGCTCAGGTCGATGTACAGTCAAGAACAATGTGAATTGGCAGGATTTTTAGGTCCAATACACATATGGCAGGTTTGCACATATTCTCTCTTGCTTTATCATATTAATATAATTCTTTTAATAAGAAACTCAAATTTGGAAGAAATTATCATGAATCATTTGTGAATTATTACTAATGGAATAATAAAATAAAATTTGTGAGATATTAATCATTATTATGTTTCATTTTAGAAAACTAGCTATATATAAACTGTTATATCAAATCCCAAGGTCTTGCTGGAAACTTGGGTCTGTTTGGTTAGTTATTTAGAATAGCATTTTTGGAAAATAAGATAGGATTCTGAGAAGTTTTTGGTATATTTATGAATAGCATTTTCTGAAAATATTTAGATTATTTTTAACCCCCTACGTTTTTTAATTTAACTAAACCCTACATACCGGTCGTGTGCCAGTCTGGCATTTTCCAGCCAAATCCACCGTGGATCTAGCCGTTGACGACTAAACAATGGCCAAGATATGGTCGTCATTAACAGCTAGATCTAACCATCAACTGTCAGATCTTTGTCCGTAAATCTTGCCATTTTCGACCAGATCAGCGCACAACCGACCAGATCCAGCCGGTCGTGTGTCGTTACAGCGGTGGCGGCCGACAGTGGCTATTGGCGGGCAATAGTGGCTTGGGTTTGTGGGGGTGTTTTTGTTAATTTTAAAACTTTTATTGAGAAAAATAATTGTTAATGTTTTGAGTTGAATAGAATATAATTAGATTTTAAAAAGAATTTTGAATATTGAAACAAATATGTATTTTGATAGGGTTGGATGGGATAGGGTTGGGATAGTGAAACAAACACAGCCTTTCCAAATTTTGAATTGATTTTATGTCTCCCTTTGTTTGGGCACATTTCAAACAAATCCTTGTTACTCTCATATGTCACCACCAAGCCTGCAATCTATGCTATCTCCGGAATCTCCTTATGAACCTCGAAAGATAAGAGCAAACATTTGGGAATCTTTATTAAGTAGTGACCATTTTTACTGTGATAACTTGCATGGTCTCTTCAAATTTCAAGTGTATTAATAATTTCTTCTCATAGATATTTGGATTATTACGGTATTTCAAAAATTCAATATAATTGATTTTTCTTTTAATCTTTCTTTTCCTTATCAATGCTAAACAGGGAATGGATGATCAAGTTGTTCCACCTTCAATGACTAACTACATAAACCGAGTTTTACCTGCAGCAGTTATACATAAACTCCCATACGAAGGCCACTTTTCCTATTTCTTTTTCTGTGATGAATGCCACTGGCAAATTTTTTCCACTCTTTTTGGGAGCCCTCAAGGCCCTCTAGAACAGAAAATGGCAATGGTTGAAGCTCCATTTGAAGGAGATACCAAAGAGGCATACGGCACTACGGATTGAAGAATAATAATCTCACCACAATCTTACCAAGGTTTTTTCCTTTTATTTTGACCCTTCCAATTTTATGTAAATACTACAGGGTGCTCTTCTGCTTAGAGAGCATGAAAGATGAAATTGTAATTTTCTATATTACAATTTTTGGATGACAAAAACATTTAACAAGAGATGTTCAAGTAAGAATGAATTTTTACCAATTTCTCTTTTGGTTCTATGTTGAGTGGTCGTGAATTTATGTTGAACGGTTTATCTATGTAGTATTATTTTAAGACGTGATTTTAATAATGTTTTACTGTATATACAAACTGGGAAATGAAAAAATAAACATGTATATTGCAAGTAGTGTTTTAAAACCCAACACGAGGTGAAACCTAGCAAAGTGGCAGGATCTTGGGTTGACTGGTTTAACCGGCGAATTAAACTTGTGTCTAAAGGTTTCAAATCAAACAAAAATACCCTTAAAAATTACATGCAAGTCTTTATAAGTTTGAAATCTTGTAAAAACACTTCAAACACCACTGTCAACGTTAGCAAATATGGTTTATTTCTAGCGAGGACCAATGTTCTGAAAACCTGACCGGACCGCCTGATCGGACCGGTTCGATCGGCAACCGACGGCAAATCTGATCCGGTATATATAGAAAATAGCTATTTTGATTTAAACCGGATTGGACCGCAGTTGGACCGTCGGAATAGTGCCGAATCGTAGTCCAATCGCAGCTAAACCCCGTCGGATTCCAGCATCTTTCGACGGAGAAAACACCCCCATTCGACAGATGGCATCTCCACGACTAAACCCATCCATTTTCAGTCGCCGTCGTCCAGCTTACGTCGATCGCCGTCCACCTAAAGTTCACGCGATGTTGGATTTCTTTTGTTGATTCCGACGAGTTCTGACGCCGATAGAACTCCCTAGTACCACCATTAGAGTCACCGGAACCTACACAACAAAAGCCCCAAGATTCCAGCTTCGATTGGCCGTCGATCGTCGCTGCCGCCACCACTCACCAGAATCTTCGCGCGATAGGGGTGTTTTAGATAGATTTTAAACCTTAAGGGAGTACTATAGGGGTGTTTTTGATGAATTTCAAACCTACAGGGACTAAAATGTAATTTTATAAATTACGGTCCAACCGACCGATCCAACCGGTCAAACCGAAAATCGGACGCTTGAACGGGTCATTGTCCAGTCCGATTTTCAGAACATTGGCGAGGACAATACTCCCCATCACCACGAAAACACTCACTTTAGCCTCTTAACCAAAATTCATCTCACCCATCCCCCGTTCGCCTCCTCAGTCACCGACAATAGCAGACTTTTTTCGACAACATAGTTTTGTGATTTCCAGTCAATTCACTCACTAAAAATCACCAACATCGCCACCATTATACTCACCGACCATTCATTTTCAAAAGCTTTAACATTCCAATATTCAATTATTCACGGTTTGATGTCTTAATTTCTAAGGTTTTCAATGAATATGAAAATTTGTAACTTGACCGATGAAGGCCATAGGTCCCAATTCAACCGATCGGACCAGACCAGGTTTTAAAACACTGGTTGCAACATCTATAACATCAGCTTAAACTTTTCCATGATTAGAGGTTAAGCAATAGCGCGGTTTCCTTTGGGTAATAATTCATAGAAATTAAAATAAAAATTAAATTTCCAAGGGTTATGAAAGACCAAGTACAATTGTTGCTATCAATAGAATGATGTTACACTTACTGAAGCAATCCACGCCGTTTTACAACACATTTCCCTCACCTTACAACGGATAAATAATAGAAAAATCAAAATTTTTCCAAACATCATACAGTTTTGGGTTTAAAAGAATCACTCGGCAAGAATAGTAGGAGGATGATCTTGAAAGTTGTTGACAATGTTCACCGCCAAAATTTAACTTTTGGAACTCACACCCTGAGCTGCTAGATAATGATACTTCAGAGACAACCCCATTAAAATGCAGAACTGCTGCCCTTCGTTCGCCTAAGCATCACCTCTTTTGCTTCATTAATTTTAGATGCAAGGTAATGGCTGCCACCTGCATCTGGATGGTTCGCAACCATCACCCTCCTATGTGCTTCTTTGACCTTATCTGTTGGAGTACTTTCTCTGATAAAAGAAAAGAAAGAAACTTAAGACTGGGTGGATCAAAAAGAAAAAAACAAACAGTAAATATAAGATGTAATTGAAGATCATTTACGAAATGACAAAAAGAAAAGCAATCTACGTACGCAACATGAATTTACAACAGAACATAACTTAGTGGCATCAAAATATGAAGTCATTTGAAATATGATTAGCAGAATTACCCAAATATATATATATATATGATTTAGCAGCTTTTGACAAATTCCTTCTCTACCTTAAAGCTAAAATGATTAGTTGATTATCACATAGCTGAAATATGTGAGAAAATTTTGAGGTTAACAGAAAATAAGAAGATAATTAAAGGAAAAATAGAAGTTCCATCCACAAACATCCACATATTTGGGAATCTGCGTACACAACACATTCATAAATATATCAGGGGCCAACTTGAGGCATGGTCTACCAATCATAAAAAGCTTAAACTCAACTCTTAAAGGGCTTATCGGAACAGTTCTCATTAGATGATTCCATGGCAAGAATTTGAATCTAGGGCTTAACAAGGGAAGCTCAAAATAACATATACTAGAGCATTTACGTCACTAACCAAACAGATTATCCCCCAACCAAATGAGCCCATGAGGTCAATGACAATTGACATGGCATCATATTCAGCCAACCAGCTAATTTTTCTGCCTTCTTTAATTTCATTTTCTAACTGCATTTTGTCTTTTAGAACTTTCCTGAACAACATTTTAACACGAATAAGGTGAGGGTTTTCTTAGTTCCACATCAGAATGTCCTTAATGCCTTCCCTCTGTAGTTGACTACTAGAAGAAAAGAGATGGGTTAAAAGAGATATCCTAGTGCATGAACAAGCAATGTGGAATTGAACTTCAATGGGCTTTGCCAAGCTCTGTCCAAAAGCTTGAAATAGCCTAAAAAAAGGACAGCAGCTGAGCTTAAAAAAGATGCAATTGCAAACCAATCCTAAAATGACAATCAAATTACATGTAACAAGCAGTCTGTTTTCAAAATATAATTTAGATACACATAATGAAACAACTAGTTGGGGAGACTGAAATTAAGGCTACAAAAAATAAAGTCCAGGAATCAATATTATTTATGCTCCGTGGAACAAGGAAGCACATCATTTTCTAATCAAGCAAACATAAACTCACTTGGAATAAGCCTCTATTCACAGATCGTGGAATAAGTGATTACAAGGATCCAGTAGTTTTAGTTTCAATAATCTAAGATTTTTGTCCTCAGAGTTCACTGTTAAGAAACTGCAAGAGTTCATGAAGTTTCCTACAGCAAGACGAAACCATAATCTATTTCTTTTCAAGCACACAATCACAGTCAAGATATCACCAATGCAAAACATTTGTCTTCAGAGCTTTTCAAAAACTTTTAACATGATTCAGAGTCTACTGTCATAACATAAAAACTTACAAAAACGGGCGACTTTTACTAATGGTCTCATCAAAACAGCAATCACTAAACTTGAAAATGAAACAACATATTCAACTGAGTGGTAAAAATAGTACCTGACTCCGAGTATTAAAGCTGCTTCTCTTCTCGTCATAACAGACTGAAATCCACCTTCATAAAATTTTCTCATTCTAGCAGTTGGTGGTCTTGCCTTGAACGCCTGCCACACCTGGATACCATATCTACCAGCATAAGCTGCAGCAGCTACCGCAAGTCCCGCAATCAATGGAGTAGCCTGATTCGACTTCAACCAGTAAGGGTCTCTAGGTAAGATATGGTTTGCAAATACTAACACAGATAAGAAACAAAATTGGTACTCCTTTCTGACTTTCCTCGATACAACAAGGCAACCAAACAGACATTCAAGCTCTATTTACCGCGGTAATAAACAGCCAATCATATTTCTGACAAACCATAGATTATGTTAACCTACATGACTAATTATGCAATTAGCTTATCTATAAGCTGGTTTACCAAATCAGGTTCTCGTCTTTGTATATAAAAAGCTACACCAAACATTAATCTCTCAAAAATCCCAAATATCAAACCCTAAAATAAAATTTATAGAGAGGGACGGAGGAAGATCGTCAATCGTGCTCTAAAAAGTAAAATTGACACCAACTTCAAGCTTACCATCCAAAATTAATGTAGAGAGTTGAAAAATGGACTGAATATTGAAGCACAGAGAGATATTGAGAGAGATGACTCACCATATTCGTAATGTCTCAGACCTCCAAATCATTCGCGGACGCAGGGTTTATTCTTTTGATAGGGTTTTGCGGTTAATCCTTTTAGAATACGAAATAATTTTTCAACAGGGGCACTTTGGTCAATTACAACCAAAAGAATATTCTCGACACCAATTTGATTCATAGCTGAATTTTTATTTATTTTTAAAAATAACTGCTTCTTTTTTGTCACTCCTAATCATGGTTATCAAATCGTGTATCGAGAACCTAATTTTTTTAATCGTGTATCACATATCGTATCGTAAGATATGTCTTTTTCAAAAAAATTAATAAAATAATCAAAATTTTCTAAAAATTAATATAATCCATAAGATTAATTAAAGAATTTTGTGGTATTATTGACTTTAAATTACGGTATTACATAATTAAAATTAATCACAAAATTCCAAAATCAATGTCAATATCTATATCTCCATTTATATTATTATTATCATATAAAATGGGCAATACATATTCCTCTTCACTTTCTCTATACAAAATAGGTAAATTTGGACAGGTTTTAGTGAATCGGGTGGGGTGACCCCGTTTTGACCCAAAAATTTTTTTGGACCTTTGGTCTAAATTAATAAAGTCGTATCGATTTATATAGATATTTTTAAGGATACGAACGGATACATATCGTATCGTAGGATACATATCAACATATTGAATGGTTTAAGATACACTCTCTGATACGTATCATTAATGACCTGTATCGAATCGTATCGTATGATACGTATCGGGTATCGTAGGATACTAACAACCATGCTCCTAGTAACTAGATTTATTTTTTATTCTTTTTTTTTTTTTCAATCCAAATTGTGTACATATTATAAAGTTATTTAAAATAAAACTCTCATTTTAATATTTTTATAATAAATATCCTAGAAAATAAAAAATATTAAGAAAAAATTCTTAATTTATTTTGCCTTTTTGCAATAAATCTCAAAATCTCGTAAGATCCCATGAGAAAAAAAAAAATCTACTTTTACTGAATTTATTCGACCTTTCTAATTTAATTTTTTTTTTTTAATTAAGACGGGTATAATTTTTTAATTTAAGGTAGTTCGGAAATAGATATCTCATCTTAAAATTTTCAAGTTAGAGTAAAAGACATGTTCCCACCTAAGGTTTCCTAAATGACAAGTTTCTACCATTGGTTTCATAAATTTCAAATTCTCATTCTTAAAACAGCAAATTTTAGGTTCTCACATATATGTTGATGGTGTTATTACTATACTACCTTTAACAAATAAATTAGTAAACTATTTTTTAACCTCCTAAATTAGTAGAATTAAAAAAATAACCATTTTACTTACAAATTTATCACACCTCCACTCCTACCTTCCACACCTCAACCCTACTCCGACACAACATCCACAGCCAACTAGGCATAGCAATGTTTCCCGGGATTTTGGGGACCCGTCCCACCCCGCCCCATATGGGACGGGGAAGCCCCGGTTTTTTTAGGGATAGGGGCGGGGGTGGGGGGTGTTTTAATCCCCGTCCTCGGGGATGGCGTGGGGGTGGGTGATGCCTTTCCTCCGGCCCGCCCCATATATAATATATAAAATTAAAATAATGTATATATATATTTACTTTTCACTAATACCCCTATATTTCACCTAATTACACAATTATCCTATCTATATAAACCCATATTTTCTTAATTTTCCTCACCCTAAACAATTGAACAAGAACAAACTCTGACCCATATTTATGTATAATTAATTTAAGTGTTTGTCATGTGGACGAGAATTAACTATTATGTTTGGTAATCCTCAAATTAATTTATGTTTATATAAAATTAACGGGGCGGGGACGGGCCTCCAACATCCCTTTGGGGCGGGGAAAGGGAATTCTTGTCATCCCTGTAACGGGGATGGGGCGGGGGTGGAGAATGATTTTGAGGGTGGGGATGGGTACGGTGAATGAGATCCCCGCCCCGCCTCGCCCTATTGCCATGCCTACAGCCAACCATAGAGATGGCAATGGGCCAAGTATTTTTGGATACAACCCATCCCAAAATTGTCAAGTTTTACCCCCTGTTATCGGGCTTGGGCTTGGGCTTGGGCCTGAGATTGATTTTAAAGCCTGCCCTCAAGTACAGGCCACGCATGGATATGTCTTCAATCTTGGCCCAACCCGATAATTTTACTATTAATTTAACTAAATTACTCTTTTACTATATTTCTAATTACAGAATTATCCTACATATATATATATATATATAATTAAGATTTATTAATATTCGGTGAGTATTCAAAAATAAATTTATATTTAAAAACTGTTTTTAGAATTAAAAATATAAAAAAATAATTAATATTTATTAATATTTAAAAATTTACATTATAAAAATAAGTGGGTTAAGCTGGGATTGAGATTACAAAAAACTCGACAGGCTGAGTTTTGGCTTTACCCGTCATCCCCGTGACGGGCCTAGGCTAGGACTGGGCCTTTGTCATACAGTCGGGCTTGGGCCCGAGCCAAGGGGTACCCGGTCCCAGCCCATTGCCATCGGCCCAACCACAACCACCACACCTTAGATCTGCTATAGCTGCCACCCAACCACTGCTACCATTGCCTTCGAGAACATATTCATTTCATTCCCATTCCATATTTACTCCCATTCTCCGTTCTCCAAACATGGAACCCGGCGAATTAAATCAACATGATCACTCCCCCAAAACCCCATCCCCTGCTACCACCACCACAACAACCACATCCAGCTATGCCAAATGTATGTGGGGCTTTTCTTCGAGGAGGTTGTGGGTGTGGCTTTGGAGCGCAAAAATCCAATGATAAAAGGGGGGGGGGGGGGGGGGGGGGTGGTGTCGTCTTCGGCGGCCTGATTCACACAACAATCAACCAAATACAATAAATAATTAGGAGCAGTGTTAATTGGTCTGATTTGAGGTGAAAATTGGTTGTGGCAAGGCTTCCAAGTGCGCGGTAGTCGCGCAAGAATAGTTGTGGCAACCGGCGAATGATGAACTAGTGCGGCCAAGGGGTGATGGAGTTTGACTTTTGATGAGGGTTGGGGGATGAAACGTAGTGTTAGGTGGGGGTTGGTGCCTGAAATCAGTCGAAATTCGACTAGGGAGTAGCGATTGTGCAAAGCAAAAAGTTGCAATGGCTGACGATCTGTGGGATCTACAGGTGGGGGGTAGAGGGTTTTGGTGTGGTGGGGTTGGTGGATTGGATGGTGGGTGGTCAAGCTGCACCGATCGGGGTTGGGGGGGGGTGGGGTGGTTTTGGTTGCTTGAAACGGCAGTCACACAGGGCGAAAAAGGTGATGGGAATCTGGAATCAATTTAATGCAGTACAATTGATCACTTTACATTGGCCGTTACATTAAACAATTTTTAATTTAAGGATGAAATATGAAATTTATGAAACCAAGGGTCCAGTTCACCAAACCTTGGGTGGGAACCAGTCGCTTACTCTTCAAGTTACAATATACTAAGTTACTAACACGTTGCAACTTGCAAGCACGGCTTTGAATACTACACAACACTAAAAACTATAAACTTTGAATAAACAAGAAATTAGAAATTAAAATATTCACTACAAGTTGATACAATGAATCAAGAATTTCAACGACATGACAATTCTACTTTTATGAAATTTTCAGAACGCAGACATACGTAGTTGCCATCACGAATGTGAATGTCAATAACTCAACAAATGGGAGTCACTGTAAACAATAAGCAGATAAATAACGGTAATCCTGTAGAATGAAATGAGATTTCACCCCCAAACCAACACTTAAAGAGTGCAATGAATGAATACAACAAATTTAACAGCAGCTGAGGAGGATTCTTTAATCAAATTATGCTTTTTTTTTTTTTTTTACTTTCTCCTTAATTGCCCCCTCCATTGCTCACACTGATTTCTGTGTTAACGCTGCTGTCCAATTTTGGTGGACCAGATTGCCGCCTTGGCCTGGCTGGTGACGGTGGATAAGAGAGCCGTTTCTTTGCAGAGGCTGATGATACTTTCTCAGGAGTTCCATTTTTGTCGGCCCCCAACGGGCTCTGCAACCTGGATTTGGCTCGTGCAGATTCGGTGGGTACCATGTAACGTGGAGCTGCCGGAAAGCCTGTTAGGCTCTCGTCATCTCGCACTGATGAACCTCCAATAGTATGCCTCCGATTTGACTGCACACTGACCATGCTTCTAGTGTCATCATCCTGACCTGAAACACTGGCCCTTGGGCTTGCTGGCTTTAATTTTCTTGCACCTGTTGAAGAAGTTGGTTTGATAGGAGTTGCACCTGTTGAAGATGGTGGCTTGGTAGGAGTTGATGGGGATTGGAGGCTTGGAGTTTTGGTTGCTTTTTGATTGGTTGTTGGGGATTGCTTGTCAGAATTGAGTTGGTAGCGAGCATAAGATCTGCTGATTTCTCCTCCTACAATATTGCGGCTTGCACTCTTTACCGATGAGTTGTCATTGTTGAGTTCTTTCTCAGTCATGCCACGGCTCTCCCATGGCCGGGCTGCCATCCATCGTTCCAACCAGCTCCAGCCCCAGGTGGGATTCCTTGGATCCATGAACATTGGATTTACAGATTTTGATGAATTCTTCCAGTTTTGCTGTAAAGTCATGTCATAGAAGAGTTAAAACTAAAAGCTTAATCATAAACTCAGTCCCAGAAACAGATAATGACATGTAATAGGTCTAGCTGAACTTCAGCCCAGTTAAAGTCACAAATCATTCAATTATGTCACAAACTATTTTTGCAACCTGTATCATCTAAATTTTAACATGTCAGATATCAAATAACCATGTATATTCATCATACTAATAATCAAGCTTAATGCTGTTATGGAAGCTGATAGTGTACAATATTAAGAGAACTAGGTCACCTGATGAGAGAACGAGTAAGCCATTGCCCTTTCTCTTCTCATAGCTGCTTCATACTTGCTTAGCAGGCTCGCTTCAATTTGCTCCTTAGACTGTAGGCTGTCATCCCAATCATCCCCCATCTGTTCCAACATTTTCAAGAGAGAATTTAACTAAGCAAAAAAGGAAAAGAATGAAAAGAACCACCTAAATGAGCTAAAGAGATTGATAGGAGTTAAATTATTTGGCTCCTTGACAAGCAAAACATTAAGCTGGGTATCTAGATTTCAAACAGCTGCAAGACATTCACGTTTAAGGTTAACTAGTCGACAGCACCGTTATAACATATCACTAGCCAAGTGATCAGGGCAGTTTATATTGACATATAAGATTAACAGGATAAAGCAAAGACCTGTGTAGCAATCTCTTTGGCATGCTTTTGTAGGAGTTGTTTTTGGAGAGCCTGATTCTCCTCTGACATTCTGATCCTCCTAGAACGAATCTGAGACTGCACACGTGATAGAGTCTGCATGCACCGAAGGGTGTTAGTGGCTTGGCGTTTCACCACAGGACCTTCCATTAGTAATTTTAGCCTGACAAGACCTCTTAAAGCCCTCAATGCCCTTCTTGCCTGTGAAAGAGAAATGCAGAAACACACTAAGCTCATAAATTCCACATGAAACTTACAATACTAAAAACAAAGGAAATTTAAACTAAATTAAAAATCTTAAGCAAAAAAACTATCTTCCAAAATGATAAATATGAATCAAGGGAAGAACAACCTACAATAACCACAAAATGGACTTTTACACATTTAACTCTCTTTAACCATTATGAATGAAACAATCTTACAATTATTTTGGTTACTTTTATGCAAGAAATAGCCTCATATGCCTCTTTCCAACAGTATATGCCTATACTTCTAGCATATGTTCATAACTACATTTCACTTTGTTGAGCTGCAAAACCATTTAATTGGTGAAAGTCAAACGCTTTTTTCATTCTCAATTTTCTATCTCAAGAAAGTCTCTTCAATATTATATCTACAAGGATATTTGCATTTACAACTGCTCGCAATTCACACATTTGCAAAATCAAATAAAATCGTGTAAAAGCATAAGACAATAAGCAAAACATTTCCTGTGGATCCGACAGTGAACAAACACTCAAAGCAGCTAACCGAAATGTTACCTACCAAGTAACCACGAAATGCAGTCTGAATCCTGATTGCCGACGCCTCTTCCTTCGATTTGCCATCAAACCGAGTATTTCTTGTGTATCGAACAACCTCCGGGACAGCCTGGTCAGCAACAACAGCCGCCTTCTCCGACACTGAAGCAGCAACTGCCACATTTCCTGCATAGTTCCTCTGCTCATCCTCCACTTCATTTATCTTCACCTCCTCCGGCTGGAGAGCAGGAGGAGGCGGAGGAAGAGGTGTCTTCACAGTCTCCAGAGGAACAGACTCGGAAACGAAATCTTTCTCCTTTCCAAACCATTTCTTCTTCGATTTCTAGAAACAAAATAAACAACTACATTATAATCCTACTAAAAAAACACAAATTACACATGAATTTAAAAAAAAAAAACGAATTTCCTTCAAACCTTGTCTTTCTTCTCCTTCGAATCTGGACTTAAAGCCTTCTTCACATTAGAAAACCACTTTCCTTTCCTCCCCATCTCCTTATCATTCCTCAATTTACTTAACCTATCAACACATAACAACAAAAAATTAAAATTTTCCAATCCAAAATGCAGAAACAACACTAAAAACTACCATATTTCCAGAAAAAGAAACTAAAATTTACCTCTGCCGAACAACAGATCTCAAAAGAAGAAGTTGAAGGAAGACTAAAGAGGTGTGAATTTGGAGTAGAAGAAGAAACAAAAAGGGCTAAGAAAAGAGAGAGAGGATTAAAGAGTTGGAAGTGAGGTATTGTTTGGTTTGCGTTTGATAAAAGGAGAAGAGGGAAGGAAAAGATCAGATCTTGATGAGAATAATAAGAGTGAGAGAGAGGAAGACCCAGCTGGTTTCCTGCTAGTATGACCCCACTTCATGGGTTGGAGGAAGTAGAGCCCACTTATTTTTTATAGGTGAAAAACATAGAAAAAGAAAACAAAAAAATGATTAAGTTGGATTGGATGTTTCTTTCCTATTAGTTCGGCAACTAACCCTGTGATTTAGCACCGCCTGTAAAAGTGTAAATCTTGTCTTTATTGCTTCTCTTTTACCCTACTTTTTCACATTAATAAATATCTAATAACAACAAAATTGAAGATTTTCACACATAAACATTATTTTATTCTTAAATTAAATCTTAAAAATAATTAATAAAATTATCTCAAATTTACCTTTTGTAAAGACTTGGTCACGGATTCAACCCTATCCATTCTCATATGTTTTATGTACTTCACTTGAGAGTGACATACAACAAATTAACTTTTTTTTTTCTTTTTTTTTTTTTTTTTTTGGTAATCAGGTAATGGGATATTCGAGTCTGTTTATGTGTACCTTAATTAATCTTCTAAGATTCTAAAGTTAATGATTAAACAGACTTCTAGTTGTCACTTCTATTAGGGGTCAAGCCAATTTATAGTTATCTTAACTAATCTCTCGAGACTCTGAAGTTAATGACTGGATAAACCTCTAATGGCCACCCTTATTAGGGACCGAGGTGAATCGAACTTAAGACCTCTTAAATAATATACCCAAAATTCTTAATTAACCACTCGACCACCCAATGGGAATTACAATAAATTAACTTAATGAAAAACTCATTATATTTGTGTGTTTAATAAATGATTTATCTATCTAGATTGGATAGCTCATCTCACTCCCAACAAATTAGCATTAGGATAATTAATTAATTGATATTTTTTTATTTGAGTTAATGATTTTTTTTCCACCCAAATAATGGTTTGATGACACTTTTTCACCCATAGACTTTAAAAATATCATTTTATTACCCAAATTTATATTCTGATGGCAAACAGAGAGTAAACTTGGTTCAGGCTATTGAGGTTTTTAAAGAAGGAAGGTTGATGAGTCTTTTGGTGGTGAAATGTTGGATTTTAGTGGTTATGATTGATCAAAATTTGACTTGACAGGGACGGTTATGCAAACGCTAATCACTCGATTGTTGGCGATTATCAGGGTTTGAGAAGTTTTGGTGAGTAATGATCTACGAAGAGAATGATGATAGTATGGAGTCGTAACGATATTAGAATTGAAAATGTAATATAAATTTGAATAATAAAATGATATTTTAAAGTTTGTGGGATTGAAAAAGTGTTATTAAACCATTGTGTGAGTGAGAAAAAGCCGTTTACTCTTTTTATTTTGGTAAAAATGTAATTAATTGGATTGTAAAAGAATTAATCCTTTTCTTGTGATGTCAACAACAGAAAGTGACACATGCGTATAATATAAGTTAGCTCACAGTATTTGCTATTTAGTGAGAACTAGCCGTTGCAACACGTAAATCAATCATCAATCATCAACTACATTTATAAAACCAACCAACCACACCGCTTAATAGTTAAAACTAATTAATTAATTTAACTCTAGTTGTTTTTTTAATTAATTAACTAATTAATCATTGTAGTGGGTCAGGGGCAGAGCAAATAAGCTTATAAAAAAAACAAAATTGAGGGCAGGTTTGGGGAATTTTCACCTGTTTTAATTAATTATTATTTTATAAGAAAATTGAGCTGGGTACCATCAGGTTTGTTAACCACCCAACATCTTGTCACGTTTAAACGCGTTTCTTTATAATCCAAATTTATTCAACCTATTTCTTTCCTTCTTTATCTATATACAGTATTTCTCTTACCGTTCATGTGTCATTTTGTATATAAATAGTTAAATATTAATTAAATTGATTTCTATTGGGACAAAGACTATTAATCTCTAATAGGGTACCAAATTTGTGTAAAATACCAAAATAGTGTCTAAAAGTCACGTCAAATTAGTGTCGCATTTGAGAAGAAAAGAAAAAAAAAGAAATTTGAAGTAATATTCATTTTAGTATAATATTTAGTGTAATAAGTTAAAAATGTCATAGTACAGTAATGTGAAATTTTGGTGTGAAAGATCAAAGATGCACCAATTTGATGTTTGTGGTTGGAGATTGTGAGATTTAAGATATAAACTATACCAAAAATGTAAAATAAGATTATTTAAACTCTTTCTCTATTATTATTTAAAGTATTCTCTTTGATCATTAACTATAAAGAAGGAGATTTCACTTAAGAGATTATGGTATGAAGAGGAATAATTAAGGGATTAATTATGATTATTAAGATATTTATATAAGATTTTAAGTATTATTCGTTTTCTTTAAAAATTTTAATCAATAGTTTAGGGTATTATTCCCAACGATTGTTATCATATGTTATAAAGGTTTATTTTATTTTCCTCTTAGTGAGATTGTTTAGTAAAACTATTGATTGTTATCATATGTTATAAAGGTTTATTTCATTTCACTTAGAAAGTATTAAATTTTTATCATAGGGATTTTATAATTTTGTAAGGGGATTCGTGACTTTCAGGGTTCTTTTTTTAATATATATATATATAAAAAAAAAATTATTTTGATAATCGAAATATTTTTAATATTTTTTTAAGGAAGTAAATGAGTTTAATTTCAAATGATTTTGTTACAATGTAACCCCGCCCTACTTGAGTAGTTTGTAAAATGTTTCAGGGTCAATGATTAATTTGTAATTATAATGAGAGTGAACGATTTTTTTCCCACCCAAATAATGTTTTAATGATACTTTTTTATCCACAAACTTTTAAAATACCACTTTACTATCCAAATTTATATTCCATTTTTTATTTTGGCATTATTGCGACCCCAAACCATTACCATCCTCTTCCCTGATCATCACTCACTAAAACCCCTCAAACCATACTCTCGTCGACCTCGCCAATCACCAGCAATTGAGCAATTAGGGTTTTTGCAACGTCTATCTCAAGTCAAATTCTAATCAATCTCAATTATCAATCACCAAAGTCTAACCTTTCACTATCAAAAGACTCATTGACCTCCCATCTTTAAAAGCCCTAACAATCTAGCTTGAGTTTGTTTTCTATTTACCGTCGGAACATAATTTGAATGATAAAATGGTATTTTAAAAATTTGTAGCTAAAGATTAATAAATAAAAACTTGGAACTCATGTTTTTGTTATTAGATTTTTTGTTATTATATCTAATAACAAAAACATGAGCTGGTTGTTTTCATTAAAAATTTGAGCTGGATTGGTGGCTCCATAAAAAAATAATATAATATATATCAATTACCTATTATTTAAATTAAAATAACTAATATAATATAATCTCAGCAAGTAAATTAAAGTAACCATAAAAAATTAGGCTGTATAAACAGTTAGAAATTGATCAACTACACAAATAAATTATTCAATTTTTTGACTTCTTCTATAAATTCCATAAACCTGGCCTCAACTAATTTGATCATGGAGGTCAATAACCATGAAGAAATTAAATGTTTTTAACTTTCATATAATATGGATTTTTTTAATTATAAATATATATATAATTATGGTATATTAAATTGTCTTGACATATTATTATATTTTATTAGTTGAGTTATCTTCACGTAATCAAATGCTAAAAAAGTTAAATATTAGGTAAGATTTTTTATTTTATTTAAAAAACAATCCTCATTTTGCTTTGTTAAAATAACCATGGGTAAGATGACATTTATAAATTATAATTTATTAATTTAAATTTTATCAGTAGCATGACTCACATATGGTAACCCCTATATATATATAAGGATAATTAATTAAGGCAATACTCCTAGAGATATTTATGCAACTTCTCATACATTATTTATAAATATTTAACATCAATAGATACTCTTTTATATCATATTTTAAATTAAAGCATGCGAAATTATTAATATGCTTGCTTTACAATCCAAAATATTTTTCAAAAACTAAATACGTTTCAAATCATTCTAAATTTGTTTTTGTATTAAAAATTATATAAAACCAAAAATCGTTTTCAGATATTACACTAGCTTTTAGGATTGTATCTGATTACTATTTTCAAAATATTTTGACTCATTTCTACTGAATGCATTTTATAAGATTTTTGTATCCATTGCTTTTAAAAACAAACAAACAATATATACATATATATGTAATAAAATTCTAGCTCTTTAACGTCGATTTTTTTTTTTTTTTTTTTAATAATTCCACGCAGTTTGTGTGATAATGGACCTATGCATGCCTCTATCCGTAATTTCATAACATGAGATATTGGATATAATGGTAATTTTTTAATAGGAAGAGTTAATTTTCTTCAGTAATTTAATTTCTTGGATTAATATCTCCTGTAACAAATGACCCTGACCAAACCTAACATATTCACGGCTACACCTTAAACTGTAGGGTCACATTATCATCTTTAATATTCCGTAATATTTAGGCATAAATTTCATATTTTTAATTTTAGAGAATAATAAGATCAATACAATATGATGATAAAGCAAAAGTAAGATAATTGCCAAAAACCACTGTATGATTTCCTTTAGCTTTGTTATATTAACAAAATATATTCCCACCATTAAACTATAAAAAAAAAACCAACAGAAAAAAAAAAAAAGTTACGAAAACTACATGACAAAATAAGGAAAAAAAAAAGATGGAGATCCTAAAATAGAATCATATTTTCCCCACCAATTTAATATTTATTTTTTTTTAAATTGTAATCTTGATTTCTTCTATTCTACACGAATTATATCGTAAAGAATTCCTTCATAACGTTGGCGTGGAGAGGAGCCTTGGTAATTAAGAGACCAAGCTGATTTTTGAGCATCTCCTGGTGGTATTCCCTTTAGCTTTGTCTCATCTTCCAGAACAACTTGTTTCACGAATTTGATTGAATTCTATATATTCCCCAAAAAAAAAAAAAAGGAGGAACAAAAATCAGAGATTCATTAATTGGTATTATAATTCTAACTACTTTTAATTTTTAATTTTATGAAAATTAAGGCTTAATGACATTTTGATCCCTATCTATAGTGAAAGAAAATCTTTCCCTCCACGGTTTCAGAAACATCTAATATTACCCTCATTTTTTAATTCATACGTTAAAACTTAACCATGAAAGGACAATCTTGTCAATTTACCTTACATATATAACATTATGTTGATTTAAAACTTAATATAACATTATGAATTGACAAGAGTCTCATTTCACGGTTAAGTTTTAATATTTGAATTCGAAAAATGTTAGGGGAAAAATGTCCATAGATTGGGTGTGAAAATCATTGAGGCTGAAATATATTTTGGAATAAGAGAAAGGATTTATGGTGAATGGAAACTTTGGATTTAAAGTGTAATATGGAATTAAAATGTGGAGTTAAAAGGAAGCAAGATATGATCATATCATAAATCTACCTAATGTTTGTTAAAGATTATGATTGATTTATAAAAAAGTTTGGAGGTTGGGCAAACTCTACTGAACCCACATAATTAATTAGTGCAAATATATATAAATTCATAGTTGGTGATGATTTGGTTTGGAGTGGGACACACTTGCTGAGAGACTTCATATTTTTTTAATGATTGGGGGTTGTTTAGATCAATTTATGTATACTTCAACTAATCTTTTAGGACCTTGGAATTACTGGTCAGGTAAGAACTCTAATAATTATCCCTATTAGCAACCGATGAAGAATCCGAACTCAGAATCTCTTTAATAATACACCTAACTCTAAGAGTCCTTATTGATTATCGAACCACTCGACCATTCGAGGTCAAAAACTTCGATTAAAAAGGATTAAATAATGCATATAAAATTTTTTAGAGGTAGAAAACACGAAATCTTACATTTGAGGATGAGTTAAATTTTGTTAATAAGAATTTAAGTGATTATTTATAATAAAAACAGAAGGAAAAATTGGCTTATATAAAAAATACCTGTGAGGTTTGTTGAACGGATGAAGGACGACCCCATCTCTCAGGATCCCAAAGAATAGAACTGTTGAAACCAAAACTTGAGACATGAATCGGAGGTTTTTCATCTGTTTCATTGTTCATTTTCTTTAGATGCCATCCTATTACTTGTGAAGAATCACATACAGGCCCTTCGATTATCACCTTCTGTTTGTTTGCCGTCAGTAACGCCATTGGCCACGTCCCAAACACCCTTCATTATCGTCAACAACAGATCAAGACTTAATGTTAAAAAAGATAAGTTCAAAATTAAATAATATAAAACTTATGATAAAAATAATCTCAGGATAATAAAGAAATATTCAAAAAAAAAAATTGAATGGGGGCTGATGCCCCTACTCGCCCATACTTGGGTTAGTGCCTAATCATCGTCCGTACCAATTAAAACCAAATAAACACTTAAAAAAGCTATTTTTTTCCCCTTCAAAAAGTAGTAATTATGTGAACATTCTTGGGTCTAAAAATTATCTGGAGATTTTTTTTTCTTTTTTTAAAAGTTGTTATTTGTTGGTCCCTAAGTTGTCGGGCGACATATATAATTAGTTGCTAAAACCGAAGCTTAATCATGTGGGGGAGGTATTCTGGGGAAAAAAAAACATGTCAGAGAAGCTTTTTATTTTCCTCGGTGAAAAATGATTCAAAATAACTTTGTAATATAATTAAAACATGCCCAATTAATAAATATTAAAATTGGTAAAAGAAAACAAATATTTCTTTTAATAAAGAAGTAATTATAGAAAATCCAAAAACAGAACCCTTGACAAGTCCAGTTTAACTCGTTTGGTCAGGCAATTTCCATTTCCAACTGCCATTTTAATTAATTATTTGAATCAATAATTAGTTTCCAAGGAGTTGCCAAAACTTTGAAAATTTCATCCACCTGCCACCTTTACCTAATGTATTCCTATTAAATAATTATCTTTCTACTTCAAATTCAACTCAATCCCATTAAAAAAAATTGTTCAGATTAGATTCTGAACAAATAATAATAACACAAATAATAATAATCCAGAGGTGCGGCAAACTGATGCAAATACTTCGTCACAACAAAAAAAAAAAAAAAAAAAAAAAGAGCGATACAAAACATATTTTTAGAACTAATAGTAGTTAGGAATGTGAATGACATTTTCACTAATATTATCCCTTTTTTTTTTTTTTTCAAATTAAGCCTTAAAACTTAATTGTGATAGGGTAATTTTGTCAATTCATAATACTAGATTATGTTTTTTTTTTTTTGGTCTTCATCATGTTATATACCTAAGATGAGATAAATGGATAAGATTGCTCTTCACGGGTAGATTTTAATCCTAAATGGAGATTATATTGGGATTTCTGAAGTCAAGGAAGTATCCTTCCAGAGAGGGTCAAAATGCCATTGGTCGAGTTAAGAAATATCAAAGTGAGAGAGAAAAAATGAAAATTTTACGTACTCAATGTCCCGGAGCTCGTCGAAGAAGCCGAGATCATAAACGTTGGAAAGGCCGGCGAAATGAACGATTCCACTCAGTCTGTGTTGCTCAATGTGCTTGAGCGCAACGTTTCTTTGATGATCCAACTCGGCTTCCGGGTCTGTAAAATTCTCTTTGAAAACCAAATGCCTGTACATGATACCCGTCTTCCTCAATATTCGCGACACTTCATCAGAATCCGACTTTCCTTCCACAACTATCCACAACAATGGCGGCGAAACCAGCTTTATAGTATTTGCCAATCTCCTCAAAAACACATTCTGAAACTTATCTCTTTTATTCGTAGGCGTCACAATGATAACTAGTCTTTTTGGCGTCAACTTGGGCTCTTTTTCTTCATCAATATCAACTGATTTCGCACGTTCCAATTCTTTATCATCCACCATTGTTGCAGATGGCTCTTGAAGCGTTTCAGTTTCATCTACAAGGCTTCTGTCAACATTGGTTTTGGCTTGTATTTTTATCTCCGGTTGAAACGTTTCGACAGGTTCTGGAGCGTACTTTTGCATTATAGTTGAAAAAGCTGGTGAAGAAGTCTTACCCGTTGGAGCAAATCCAGTGAAGAATCCCATAACGAAACACAAAGAAAAATGAACTATAGCTTTCTTCCATAACTGAACTCTCTTCTTTGATCTTTCCATTGACCTGAAAACTATGACTTGAAATTGAAAAAAAAAAAAAAAATTACAGTCACCGTCACTGAATTTCGGGTGACAAATATTTCAAGAGAGCAACAAGCTAGGGGTCGACATATCAGACTATGATATATATAAAAGGGCATTGTATTGTTTTATATTTTTTTTGGGATTTAATTTCAGTGGTGAGGGATTGCTATTCATTTGGTTTTGTCTTGAAGTAAAAGGAAGATGGGAAAGCAACATATTATGAAGGTTTGAGTTGCTCTTTGTACCAAATAGTTGGTGGGATTGGAACTCATCAACTAAGTATAGTTTGAATAACATAATTGTAATTAATAGCTGGTTGTTAAGGTTAAGTTTTCAATTAGCTCGGCTGACCAAATTTACTAGTTATGAGAAATCAGAATTTTCAGACTGAATATTATTTTGGGGGACTGTGGAGCACAAGTAATAGAAAGATATAATTAATTTAAATAATGTGTTCATTGTTTTAATTTTTTTTTAAGAATTGTAATCTGTGATCATTCAACTAAAATCATTGACCCCTTGTGTGTTTAATTAAGAATATAAATAGAATTTGGGTGGTTTGGCAATTCATTATAAAATTAAAAAAAAAAAAATGGTTGGAAATTTTTTAGGAATATTTTAGAAAACCTTTTTATTTAAAGAATTTATCAGAGTCCTTTTTCTTGACGTAAATATTGTGTCTCAACTAAAATTCTGCCCTTTTTCAATAATGTCAATTTACATTTTTGTCTCTTTACATGTATGCAAACAGGATATTGCAATAATTAATATAATTTTTCTTTGGATTTGTGAGAAATTGAGAGTGAATAAGATAAACTAGAAGAGTAAAACTTTTTCCCATCCAAACAATGATTTCATAATACTTTTTTATCATTTTAATATCAAAATTTATATTCCGTTTCAGATTCTAGCACTGTTATATCCCCACACCACCACCATTCTCTTTCTCGATCATCACTAACCAAAACCCCTCAAACCCTATTCCCGTTGACCCCGTCAATCGTTGGTAATCGAGCGATTAATGTTTGCGCAGCCAAATATTATATTAAACTTTGATCAATCTCAACCACTAAAAATCTAACATTCCACTACCAAAAGGCTTATCAGTCGTCCCTCTTCAAAAGCTCCAACAACTTAGATTGAGTTTGTTCTCTATTCATTGTCAGAGTATAAATTTGGATAGTAAAATATCAGAGTATAAATTTAGATAGTAAAATGGTATTTTAAAAATTTGTAGATGGGAAAGTGTTATTAAACCATTATTTGGGTGGAAAAGAGCCATTAACTCAAACTAGAAATAACAAAATGAGGGGTTGCTTGGTAAGTGATCATAATTAGCCACAAGGTTAATTGGGGAAGAGGATGACCTGACCCTGGTCCCTGTGGGCCGTGTAATGTAAAAAATTCAAAGAAGAAAACTTTAATAAATAACTTGATTTTTCAGGTACCTTTCTAAATGATGATCTTGAATTTGCGTTTATGATTTACAGTCACTTGATAGATAAGCTATTTTGTTTATACTTAAGAGATTAATTATTCATTTTGCCAACTACTTCATAGCACTTACTGGAATTACAAGGAACCGAAACGGAGAGTCAATATGATAATGATACTGAGATTAATATTGTACGATGGTTAAATTTTTGTTCTTTTTTTTTATTTTTTATTATCAATATTAATGTAAGAAAAATTTGGACTTCAATCATATGAAAATTTACTTAAAATTCTTTTGCCACCTATGCAAGAAAGATTCAAGGGTATGGAAGAAATGTGGGTGTTTGATATTGGAACATATCATAATGTCAGCAAAGTTTACTTGATGAATACTAAAAACATATCAGTTATGTGGTTGATTACATCAATCAGATCAATTTTCCCAAAGGATTTGTCCCAGTATGGATATGAAAATCTATCCATCAAAATCAGTGCGTCCCATGTTACAGGTTTTTTCATGATGGATAACAGCAGCAACTTTGAGCCTTTTTTTTTTTTCACAAAAAGTTATCCAGTCAAAACAAACAAAAGCCCAACCACTTTGGTGCTGTTTCACTTTTTTGCCGTTGTTGTTAGAGAAAGTTTTTTAAAAAAAGTTAAAAAAAATTGAATTAAACGGGTATTACGATGTAAGATTTAAAAATTAATAAAAATACCTCCTATATTTGTTTATTTACTAAACACCCCTATAATAAAACTTTAAAAGTTAACAAAAACACCCTCATCCATTGAATAATTACAGTCGGCCACCACTGCCAGAGGGTGGCCAGAGTCACCGTATCGGCGCATGACCGGCTAGATCTTGTCGGTCGTGTGTCGATATGGCCTTTGCCGACCAGATCCACGGTGGATCTGACTGCATTTGCTTTTCAACGACGGCCAAAGATACGGCCGTCGTTGATGGTCAATGACGACCATATGTTAGCCGTCGTTGACATCTGGTTACGGCCAAAGATCTGGCTGTCAACGGCCAGATCTTTGGCCTTAGATCTGGCCTTTTCTGGCCAGATCCACCGTGGATCTAGACAGAAAAAGTTAGATCGGCACACTATCGGCCAGATTCAGCCGGTAGTGCGCCATTATATCAGATTTCGGCCAACTTCCGACAGTGGTGGTCGGAATCTGGTATAATGTGGGTTTAGGGGTGTTTTTGCAATTTTAAAAAATAATATTTAGGGGTATTTAATTAAATTAACAAATTTAGGGGGTTTAAAAAAAGTTGAATAATATTGGATAATATTGTGAGTTTTTGGGCATTTTACTGTTTAACTTTTTTGGGAATACTAATAATAGTATTCCCAAAAGCCAACCAAACAGAGCCTTTGATTCTAATTTATTTGAGGGGAGAGCTTTGTTTCAATGTTGGGAAGAAATTCAACTGTAGCTATGGAAGTAAATAAAGCTTTAACAAATGGTGATGCTTGATTTTGACATCAACGACTCGTACGTGTAAAGCGCTAAGAAAGTCTTAGAAATTACATGTGATGGATTCATGAGATTTGAATATGGTGCTGAGATTATATATGTTTGTAGAAACATAAATAATAGATAGACAAAAGAGATTTTTATAGTGGTTCAAATGCTTAAAGCGAATCCTACATCCATTGTTCTTTTATTATTCTCTAACTATCTCCATGATATTGCCCGTAAGGCATACAAAGATGGAGAAATACTTTATTTACAGAGAGAAATAATGAAGCTCAAATGTTTGCCTAACTCTCATCTACTCAGCCTCCTCTTTTACGAAGAGAGGTGTCAATTTATACACCTTTGAGGTCAATATAATGAGTGCTTTTGTAAGTTGCCTTGACACACGGAGAACTCTCATTCATCCCTATCTTAAAATGAGATAAAGTTGGTATAAAATATCTTTGAGGCGGTATGGACTTGATAGCTAGTACACTTTATCTTTTAGGCACTTGTTGAGCTGACATCAGTGTGACTTTTTAGGCACAACAGAACCCCCCAGTTTTTGAAGTGCGTAATTGCACTTCAAAAACTCATGTCTTAGATCTGAATGGATATCGCACTATAGGCCACAGTCTCGAACTGAAGAGCTCGAATTATGCCTGGCGCGATCGGGTGCTGAGAGCTAGGACTACGATCTGAGCACTTGGAGCGATTCGAAGTTGAGGGCAATCTGATAACTGACATAAAATGTCTAGTAGATGAATTCTTGGAGGGGGCTAACGTTAGAAGCCCAAACGCACAGCTTAGAGGCCTTAAACAGATAAGCCAACTTAAAACAACCATAACTTTTGATCCGAGAGGAGTTTTGGAGCCCGTAAGATATCCACAGAAAGCTTGTTTTGAGCTTTACGTCATGGCAATAGGGAAACCTAATTGGGACCATTTTAGGGGCCAAAATCCACCGTTTCGGCATATTTCAGGGCTGTTTTGAGTTTTCTATGCGTTTTTTCTAATGCTAGCAGATGGTCATGATCTGATAGCTGAGAATTGATCACAATTTGAGAGCTGAGAACATGACCTAACGCTATTCGCAATCTCAGATCTAAGAGCTAATCGTGATTTGAGAGCTAGGAGCTAATCGCAATCTAATAGGAGCTCAACCTAAGAGTTTGAGGCGTGTGATCTGAACGATCTGATGCACGCGATCTCAAGCAAACGAGCAAGCTTATGAGCTCAATCAGAGAGCAAGCTTATGACTCAATCAGAGAGCATAAGGAGCTCGATCTAAGAGCACAAGGAGCTTGATTTGAGATCATAAGGAGCTCGATCTGAGATCATAAGGAGCTCGATCTGAGATCATAAGGAGCTTGATTTGAGAACATAAAGAGCTCGATCTGAGATCATAAAGAGCTGGATTTGAGAGCATAAAAAGCTCGATTTGAGAGCATAAAAAGCTCAATCTGAGATCATAAGGAGCTCGATCTAAGAGCATAAAGAGCTTGATCTAAGAGCATAAAGAGCTCGATCTGAGATCATAAGGAGCTCGATCTGAGATCATAAGGAGCTCGATCTGAGAGCATAAAGAGCTTGATCTGAGATCATAACGAGCTTGATCTGAGAGTATAAAGAGCTCGATCTGAGATCATAAGAAGCTCGATTTGAGATCACAAGTAGTTTGATCAAAAAACGTGGAGCTTGATATAAGAACACAAGAAGTTCGACCAGAAAGCGCAAAGCTTCATTTGAGAACAGAAGAAGTTTGATAAAAAAAACGCGAAGCTTGATTTGAGAACACAAGGAGTTCGATCAGAAAGCACGAAGCTTGATATGAGAACAGAAGAAGTTCAATCAAAAAGCGTGAAGTTTGATATGAGAACTCAAGATCAGCGATCTAAGCGCTCGGAAGCACGATCTGGCCGCTCATAAGTGCGATCTAAATTATCTAAACACGTGATCTCAATGATTTTGAACGTGCGATTTGGATGATTTGAGTGATCTAAGCGCGTGATCTCAACGATCTTAAATGCGCGATTTGCGATCTGGACACGTGATTTGAGAGCTCTGATGCGTGTGATCTGCGATCTGACCATGCCATCTGAGAGCTCTGATGCGTGCGATCTACGATCTGGCCACGCCATCTAAGAGCTCTGATGCGTGCGATCTGCGATCTGACCACGCCATTTGAGAGCTAGAGATCTAAGCGCATGATCTCAGTGATCTTGAACGCGTGATCTAAGCGTGCGATTTGGACACGCGATTTGAGAGCTCTGATGTGTGCGATTTGATCATGCCATCTGAGAGTTCTGGTGCATGCAATCTGCGATCTGACCATGCCATCTGAGAGCTCTGATGCGTGCGATCTGCGATTTGACCACGCCATCTGAGAGCTCTGATGCGTGTGATATGGCCAGGCAATCTGAGAGCTCTGATGCATGTGATCTGAGATTTGGCCACGCCATCTAAGAGCTCTGATGTGTACGATCTGCGATATAGCCACGCCATCTGAGAGCTCTGATGCGTGCGGTCTGTGATCTGGCCATGCCATCTGAGAGCTCTGATGCGTGCGATCTACGATCTAACCATGCGATCGGGGAGCTTGGTCACAGGTTCAAGACCCGCATGGGCCACCAAACTGTTGATGCTTGATTTTGACACTAATGACTCGCACATGCAAAGTGCTAAGGGAGTCTTAGAAATTACACATAATGGATTCATGTGATTTGAATATGGTGTTGAGATTATATATGTTTGCAAAAACATAAATAAAAGATTGATAAAAGAGGTTTTTATAGTGGTTCGGATGCTTAAAGCGAATCCTACATCCACTATTCTTTTATCATTTTTTGACTATCTCTATGATATTGCCCGTAAGACATACAAAGATGGAGAAATACTTTGTTTATAGAGAGAAATAATGAAGCTCAAATGTTTGCCTAGCTCTCATCTGCCTAGCCCCCTCTTTTATGAAAAGATGTGCCAATTTATATACCTTTAAGGTCAATGTAACGAGTGCTTTTGCAAGTTACCTTGACACACAGAGAGCTCTCATTTATCTTTATCTTAAAATGAGATAGGGTTGGTGGTATGAGCTTGACAGTACATTTTGTCTTTTAAACACTTGTTGAACTGACATCAGTGTGACTTTCTAGGCACAACAACAAATGAATTATTTTTTTGATTCCTACTTGAAAATAATTTTAAGTTCGAAAATACAATTGAGCTACAATCTTATTAGAAGTTGACATTTAAAAAAACCCCTTATGATTATTTATTAAAACCCCCAATTAAATTACCAGCTTTTTCAGTAACTGTAGCCGCACCATTACGCTGCTCAGTTCCCACCTTGTACTGAAACTAGATTAACAAATTCTTTGATTTCTTTTTATTTTATTTTTTGTTTCTTTTATATTTTTAAACAAACGATACTTTGTATTAGTTTGTCATCTTCAACGAAATATCTTCGCGTTTGCTTTCTGGCTCTGTTACTTGTTAATTTTAACGAATTAGTTTGTTATATGATTTCATTGCGCCTTCAACTTTGCTTCCATGTCTAATTTTAATTGCTTTCATGTCTAAATTCAATGCTGTCTTATCTGCTGTCGTTTATCTTTGACACTCCTTTTTGCATTCTAGTTGTTTGAAGAATTGCCTCTTACGAGCTGTTGCGGTTATTTTAATTTCAAAAGATTTTTATTAAGCACCCAGTTTTTATGTTGCATTAAAAATTATTTATGCTTCTAGTTCTGGTAGCTTAGTATGTTGATTATGCATATGCATTTCTCATGTACATAGAGTAATGGAGTATTTGAATATGTGCTTTTCTCTGGTCTTGCATTTTACTGCTTTCATCATTTTGCTTCCCAAAATTACTTTTAAAATGATTTTTAAATAGAAAATGTTAATTCAATCATAAGAAAACATTTAAAATGTTAATTCAATCATAAGAAAACATTTTTCTTGCTTTTGATTTATGAAATTCTGATACCATGATTAGAAACTTGAAAGCCCAACTGCGGTTCGCCTTCAATTACAGTCAGCCTAGTGTTTTGCCGCATTTTAGGACTGAACAATTTAGCAATGATTACATAAGTTCCCTGTGCAAGCAAAAGCTTTACAATGAAGCTCTTAAGGCATTTGACTTCTTGCATAAGAATACAAGTTTCTCGATAAAACCAAGCACTTATGCCCAACTGATGTCTGCCTGTTCTTCTCTGAGGTCTCTAGAACAGGGAAGGAAAATCCATCTTCATATGTTGGCCTCCGAATGTCAGCCAGACGTTATTCTTAACAATCATATTCTCAACATGTACGGAAAAGGTGGGTCACTGAAGGATGCTAGAATGGTTTTTGACGACATGCCCCAGCGGAATGTAGTCTCTTGGACTTCTGTAATCGCTGGATACTCACAGAATGGCCAAGAAAATGATGCCATTGAATTGTACTTTCGGATGTTACAGTCAGATGTAATGCCAGATCATTTCACCTTCGGAAGCATAATAAAAGCTTGCTCAGGTCTTAACATTGTTGGATTAGGAAAGCAACTTCATGCTCAGGTCATAAAATCAGAACATGGTTCTCACCTTATTGCACAGAATGCTCTTATTGCAATGTACACAAAGTTTGAACAACTTGCTGATGCGTGGGATGTGTTTTCTCGTATTGCAACAAAGGATTTAATTTCATGGGGTTCAATGATTGCTGGGTTTTCCCAACTGGGTTATGAGTTTGAAGCTTTATGCCATTTTAGAGAAATGCTTCGTCATGGCTGCTATCAGCTGAATGAATTTATATTTGGCAGTGTTTTCAGTGCTTGCAGCAGCCTCCTACATCCAGAATATGGTAGGCAGATACATGGGATTTGCATAAAATTTGGTTTAGGGAGAGACATTTTTGCTGGATGCTCCCTTTGTGACATGTATGCTCGATGTGGTTTCTTAGATTTTGCAAGAATGGTATTTGATCACATAGAAAGGCCTGATTTAGCGTCATGGAATGCAATTATTGCCGGGATTGCTAACAATGGCAATGTCAATGAAGCCATGTCATTCTTTTCTCAGATGAGGCATCTAGAGTTGATCCCAGACAGACTCACTGTTCGCTCCCTACTTTGTGCTTGCACCGGCCCTTTGGCACTCTATCAGGGTATGCAGGTTCACTCCTATAGTGTTAAGATAGGATTTGATTCTAGTGTTCCTGTGTGCAATGCTCTACTTACCATGTATGCAAAGTGTTCTGTTCTATGCAAAGCATTCTTGGTATTTGAAGAATTGGGAGAGAAGGCAGATTCAATTTCCTGGAATTCAATTCTTACTGCTTGTATGCAGCACAACCAGACTGGAGAGATCTTCAGATTATTCAACCTAATGCTTGTTTCTCAAAATAAGCCTGATCATATTACTTTAACTAATGTAGTGGGAGCTTGTGCAGAAATAGCATCTCTCGAAATGGGTAATCAAGCTTATTGCTATATCATGAAAACAGGGCTCATACTTGATGTTTCTGTCATGAATGGATTGATTGACATGTATATAAAGTGTGGCTCTCTTGGAAGTGCTCAAGAGCTTTTTGATTCTATGGAGGATCCAAATATTATCTCCTGGAGTTGTTTAATTGTTGGGTATGCTCAGTTTGGATATGGAGAGGAAGCCCTTAAACTCTTTAGAAGGATGAGAAGTCTAGGAGTCAGGCCAAATGAAGTGACATTTGTTGGTGTCCTGACTGCCTGCAGTCATGTTGGACTGATAGACGAAGGGTGGCAGTTGTACAGAACCATGGAAACTGAATATGGGATCAAGCCATCAAGGGAGCACTGTTCTTGTGTAGTTGACTTACTTGCTCGTGCTGGACGCTTACATGAAGCTGAGGATTTTGTTAATCAGATGCCTTTTGACCCTGATATCATAGTGTGGAAGTCTCTGCTAGCTGCCTGTAAAACCCATGGGAATGTTGATGTTGGGAGAAGAGCTGCAGAGAAGATTTTGATTATTGATCCTTCCAATTCTGCTGCTCATGTATTGCTATGCAACATATATGCTTCTTCTGGAAGATGGGGAGATGTTGCTAGACTGAGGGGCTCGATGAAAGAAAGGGGTGTGAGGAAAGTTCCAGGGCAGAGCTGGATTGAAGTTAAGAATAGGATCAATGTTTTCTTTGCAGAAGATAGTATGCATCCAGAAAGGGACAAAATATACTCAATCCTGGAGGAGTTATGGTTGCAGATGCTGGATGATGGTTATACTCCATTCCAGATATAGGCTTCAAATGAACGAAGACATTGGTAAAGACAAAGATGAGCTTCATTCTCACCGTTCAGAGTAGTAGAAGGTGGTCTAAGTCATTTGGGAGGTTCCAGATTAAACAATTCTCCCAGGAAGTCCTGTTGGAAAGACTGTGGGTACTGAGGTATGGTTCTGCTTTTTCTTGCATTTTGTGCTTTTTGCACTTGTGAATCGCTTTTGAAAGTGAAGATTTCTTACTTTAAGCATAATCGTTGAATTAACCACCAAGAAAGACCATCTTTATATTAACAGCTTGCCTGTCTTGGTTCAGTGTATTGTTACTAAAGAAAAGATGTTTCAGTTCTGCAATTGAATACAATATCCTAATTCATTCGATATCAAATTTCCATTATGAGATATGAATCTAATATTACGTCTATTGATTGATAGGTTCATTTAGATTCAGTAGCATTACATAACAGCCAATTTACTTTTGAAGATCACAGCAGAAACATACGAACGTCCATTACCCTGAGCTCTACAGTTCAGCAATTGGTGCTGCAGCTTATCACAATTTTGCTGCCTGGTGCCGCTACCAAGGTAATCTTCTTTGTCTTCTTGCTTGACTTATTTGCTTTCGGTAGTGCTAGATATGCAGAAGTAATCGTGTGTTGAATCAGTCGGAACTGCTTCTCCCTGTTTGCAGGAATTATTAATCAAAAGAAAACATATTATTACAATAATCTCAATTCGCGGATTCTATGAAAACAATTCATTTATTTGTTTTAAGCTTCAAATTTGTGCAAAGTTATGCTCATGGACATGTCATGTATGTTCTGTTCTCTTGCAGCAAGCAGTATTCAAAAGTATATTGAGCCAATGAGATTCTGAACAGAACTCAATGATCCTTGTTGGAAGTATTTCCGGCTTAATACTGCTAATTATGTCAAGCAACGAATACATTAGTGGTCTGTTGGTGCTTCCGTGTTGGTTAGGCCGCTCCTATTTTTGAAACAGATTATTCTCAACTTCTCGTTGCATGAAAGTTAGTATTCAGTAATATCTAAAAACTTTGTTATACTCAATTTTTCTGTTCGTATTCAGCAGAGCAGATTAAAGGCTAAAGTGTAAAATTCAACAAATGAGGGGCTCTAAAATTAAAAATCTAAAAATCATATTTTTTATAATATAAAATTTTGAAGAACTTTTGTAAGACCGGGGTGGGCATAAGAAGTGATGAAGATGAGGTGATCTGGTCTTTTTCTAATTTTATTTTATTTATTAATAAATAAATACTTTATTATTTAAAATTTATCTTTTATTTAATTTATTAATATATCTTATTTATACACTTAAGTATAGTTGGAGCATCTCTCGATGATTCTTTATATGATTCAAACTCTTTATTATAAGAGTAATATTACACTTACAAAGATCTTCATACAAAGTGATATAATGAATATAATGAATTTGACTTTTTATTTCACTATTTCATTCATTTTTTGTCATCTTATTTTGTATTAAAATCTTTGTAAGATTTTTTTATAAGTATAGTTTTATTGTTATTATAAAAAGTTAATCCATAAGAACACCTCTAAAGACTTTTTATATGATCCAAACTTTTTATTATAGAGAGTTTGTCCATAAAAATAAGAGTCCAATAGATTCTTTATTCTTTAAATATAAATTAAAGAGTGAGTTTGACTCTCTAAATTTAAAAAGTCAAATTTCACTCTATCCCTATTTTATTTAATAAATTACAAGTTTTTATGCATTTTATTATTAAATCTCTCTTATTTATTAAGTCTAATTTATAGAGTACGTTGGATTTGAATACAAATTTTATTATTTATATTTAAAAATTAATGAAAATATTCTTTATTTACGTAAAATATGTTATTTAAATAAAGAACACCGTTTAAAAACAAGAATTTAATACTCTTTATTCTATACTTTTTATTCTTTAAATAAAAATTAAAAAGTGAGTTTAACTCCTCACATCTAAAAAACTCTCTCTACCTTAATTTTAATTAATAAATTACAAGCTTTTATACATTTTATTTATTAATTTTCTCTCTTATTAAACCTCTTTCTTGAAAATTAAAAAAGTGCATTGAATTTAAGTAAAAATTTTATTTTTTATATTTACAAATTACAAATTAAAAAAAAAAAAAATCATTTGGGGATACTCTTAAATCAATCGATTATCAAGATATCTCATCATTGTTTCATAAATTAAAATTTACCTCTTAACCCAAAATAAGCTTTGTTATGTGATAATTCTCAGGACCAGGCTGCGGTCGTACCTGAGGCAGGTCAGGTCGGTTTTGTTAGGCCAGCTTCAGGGTTACTCATTCAGTCATTCTCTACTAGTCTTACTTATTGCGGCCTTCCTGCACTCTTTGGAAACGGAGAAATCGTACAAAACTAAGCAACTGCTGCTGTACCGACTTTAAATTCATTTTAAACAATAGCTTCTACAACAAACAGAACTTCCTTAAAAATGATCAAAACAACAATTGGTGCCCAAAATTTTCATTCACTGTGTTTTACTCTTCCGCATCTTTTGGTCTGGTTGAAATTGAGTCTCTTCGTGGCCGACGCTTCTTACCCTTCAGTTTGGGTAACACCATCTCATCTTTTGGTGCGGTTGAAATTGAGTCTCTTCGTGGTCGACGCTTCTTACCCTTCAGTTTGGGTAACACCATCTCATCTTTTGGTGCGGTTGAAATTGAGTCTCTTCGTGGTCGATGCTTCTTACCCTTCAGTTTGGGTAATGCCATGATCCATGATGGAACCTCACAACCTGAAGCTTTCATGACATTTGCTATATTGCGCAGAAATGGAATATCATCTTCTGTGTAGAAAGTGATAGCTTCTCCGCTCCTTCCTGCTCTGCCAGACCGTCCTATTATGAATATCAACAAACTTGATTCAGCGATCTTATACTAAAAGTCCTTCCAACAAAAGCGTATCAGAAAAGCTCAGTAGAATTGATTAAAAGTAGCTGCAGTGCAATCATCGTCGATAGAAAACTCTCGCAGAGCATCTGTATATAAATGAATGGTCTAATAATGGTGAAGTATTTGGTACATGCACAAAATAGGATTTTTTTTTTTTTTTTTTTTTTTCAATAACAGTCCGGAGGTATCAAAACTGCTATGGACTAGATTAGTTCAAATCCATTCCGGGAACTAAAGTATGGCAGTACCAATGATTCCAAAAAAATAATTTATTAATGCAAAGGTGATACCTTGTAAATTGAGAATATATCACTGCCTCAAATTACAAGTTTTTTCATATCACAACTGTGTATCAGAGTTACAAGAGACTGACATACCTATCCTGTGGATATATGCAGAAGCGGAATCTGGAAAATCATAATTAATCACACAACTGACACCTTTGAAATCCATGCCCCGGGCAATGACATCAGTGGCAATCAAAACCCATGTTTTACCAGCTCTGAAGTCATCAACAGCATCATCTCGCTGTGTATTCAATAGCAAGAAATCAGCATAAGAAACAAGAAAATCATATGATACATCGATCACTGACTTAAGCAACACAGAAAGTATACAGCTCTCATGGACAAGGAAAAGAATCAGCAACACTAGGAAATTTGTCTATTCACTTCAAGTGATGATCATCCAGCTAGAAAACATGTTGAAGCACTTATATTACTGACATCTATGTTGAGAAACCAGTCTTAAATTATAGTATTATAAAAAAAAATCCACACACATTGAACCAGCTGCGCTATTTCAGTGCAAAACTCTTGGGATTCACAATCCGGGCCTAGCATAGTTCTTGGCAGGTCATTCTTACAATAAACCAAATGCTTATTTTGAAACAGTTCAAAATTTTAATTCTATCAAAAAGATCGTGCAAAATAGTGAGATGAGCCAGAGTTCCACCACCAGACTAACAAAAAATTAGAATGTGGATATGCATAATTCATTAGTATGAATCTACAATATAGAGCCTATAAACTAAATGATTGTTTTAAGTATATGACCCTTATATCAATGATTTTCTTTCATTTACATAACAAATTCTCTTGACTAGAACTCCAAGCAAATTGATAATGTGGCTTTGTTCAATTGGCAACCAAATAAGATTACCTGTGTTTGGGACAGATCAGAGTGTATTACACCAGCTCTAATGTTGTCAAATGCCAGCTCTCCGTAGAGTTCCTTGGCTCGTTCTTTGCTTTGGACAAATATTAGTACCGGTGGATTTAAGCTCTACTGCCAAGTACGAGTACAAAATCAAGGTATTATCAAGAGGAACAGATTGCTCTGGTTGAAAAAACACAGGATAACCAAAGTAAAGATGTGCTGTAACATGACATGCTCAAAAATTTTCAACAGAAATTGATGCAAGTAATACGCATATTAATTGGTACTTCCATATATTTTTGTAAGACTCTTTTATCCTGTCACCCATATCTAAAAAAAGTTACAGCTATCTGAATTTGACATGCTTGTAACCACTAGTATGAACCAAAGACTGATGAACCATCCCAAAGAAAACACAGAAGTTGTAAATATGTGCTTTTTTGTCAAGAAATGACCACCATTTACTTATCCATGACATTTCAGATCAGATCAGATCGCATGGCTCGAGCAGGAATTTCAAAATTCAAAGTTTGAAGTCCCCTTAGACCTTCATATGAAACATAATGGGAATTTCTAGCTATTAAATACTGTATCAAAAATGAATTTCATTAATGAATAATCCCCAGAAAAACTTTATTTTCAAATGAAGTAGGATCTCATAGCCACATTAGCTAAGCTTTCCAATCACATGCTTAATAATAATGTACCTCTGCAAAGCTTTGTCTAAGTGCAAGAAGCTTCCCCTCTTCACTGCCAGCATAAACCAATTTTTGCTTGATTGATTCAGAAGCTGTATTCCTGTTCAAAATTTCAGAAATATCAAATGTGTTAAAGGAACCACCTGTACTTTTTCAAAAAGTAAAATATCATGTACTTACTTCCTGCCAACTATTACTCGAACAGCATCATGCATTATTGATCGTGCAAGCTCCTCAACAAAATCAGGTAAAGTAGCACTGAACAATGAACGTATTATTGAAGGATTAGAGCATGCCTTGACCACAGGATCAATCTGCTTTAACAAGTCGCCAACCTCAAACAGCTTATCAGCTTCATCCAAGACCAGATACTCTACCCTACACAAGAAAATGACTCATATGGGAAGCAGTTCAAATCAAATCAAGATTTACTAATTCTTTCCTTTTAATATAACAATTACTGGATTTAACACTTGGTAATTTTTTGAAGATTCTGGTTAATGAAGTAAACATGCCTACAGTAACTTGTAGGTGCTGTAACAAAAATTTTCCCAAGGTCAGAGCGTGGCTACAAAAACAAATTTCCTTTTCTGTAGTATACAAAGCTATGGAGTATGATAAACAATTCTTATTAATTCATGATGAATTTTTGAGTTTTGTGAAACAAACATAAACCTCAATGGTTCATTTCTACAACTTATATAAGAATCAGTGAAGTCATCTTTGATTCTCAAGTTTATATTACACTCATCTGAGTTTGAATTGCAGAGACCATATATAATTTGAAATCAATCGCTACATCAACAAGACTAGAGCTGAAAGAGTATTTAATTACCATAGCTCACCCTTAATTACAGACATGAAAGAAACAATAACTGCAAGAAACAAAACTCCCATCATTCCAATGGATACACACATATGGGCGAGCTGCATCATCCTCCCTCTTGGAGTGTGTGCAAAGCAAAGAACATAAACTTTCAATATAAGATGAATCATGAGAATTTGCTTGAGGTTCAAACTAAAAAACATCGATGAAAAAAAGAACCAGGTGATTCTTGGTAAATTGTTAGACTATGGAATGGTTTAATACGATTGTACTTCTCAAAGGGGACATTAACAAAATAGACAATAATAGCAGTAATCCATCAGCACACACCTGCTTAAATCAATCTTCCTTTTCCGGATCGCCAGCTGTAATCGCAGTGGTGTTGATATAAGAATGTCACAAGAAAATTTTGACAAATCAACTCTTCTTACAAGTTCTTTCTTCATTAATTTAATACGAAATTTTTTTCCTTTGGCCAGTTTTTTGCATTCTCTGGTTGTCTGAGCAGCTAACTCCCGGGTAGGACACAGGATAACAGCTCGAATGCCAGCTTTTGATGTTTGCTGATTACATGGAGAACCTTCATCAGAGAAACTCAATAATCAGTGTTAACAAAAGTAATTAAATGAGATTAATGGTACCTTAAGTTTCATAAACATGGGACACAAAAAGGCCAAGGTTTTTCCAGATCCAGTTGGTGCACATGCAAAGCATTCCCGATCCTGAGAAGAAATTAATTTCAGTTAGCTATCAACAAAAGCAAGGAAAATCCAAAGAGCATTCAACACTTATTTAACACAATTCAAAGTTCTTATGAAGTTAAGCAACTCTAGATATTTTAATGGATATCAGAAAAGTCCCCCAGGATATAGCCTCACTAGTTAGTTAAATCTCTTGCTCCATTCTAGGGGTCTAATGCCCCTCACACCAACCTTGGAGGGGGGCCCATTAATTTGGTTTTTGACATGGGAAAGAACGAGGCACAGTGTGTAATAAATGAAAAGAAGAAAGAGGACATCAATAAAGGAAAAAAACAAGAATCAGCACAAAGAGAAAAGAGATAAACAAAGAAGCAAAATTATCCAGAAGCAAGCAAGGATAGATTAAATTAGAAATCATACAGATAAAAGGACTGGAATAGCCTGCCTTTGTATCGGTGTTGGCTCTTTATATCCAAGTTCAGCCAAACTACGTAACAAATATGACTTACATCCATATCTGCAAATTCACCAAACAACTCATTTCTCAACCATGATATAGCAAACAAGCATATAACCAGAAAGAAGATGAACACACAGTAATACAATTGTAATATTCTTAAAGGTTGAAAAATGGAAGTAAGTGCCATCGCTAATAAGAATAAGATACCAATGCATAAAAAAGAAGATGATAATACGGCTATATAAAAGAAGAGAAACAGAAACATTATCCAACATATACGGATCCAATATCATAAGAGTCCCATAAAAGAACCACTTGCAACAAATTACCACAGTGAAGTAATTTTAAAATTAGAGGTAAGCTGACCATAGAAAGAAACACGAAGAAATGCCAGAACAAAAGTAACTTAAGGGAATATTAATAACATAGATGCACGACATAGAAAAAGAAACAATACATACCTTGAGCTTAGGTCTGCAAAAGTCTTAAGTGGGGAAGGGACATTGGCCCCAGAAACATGAATGTTATACTTCTTCCTAAAGAGAGCATCCCACTGACCTCATGAAGAAATCAAATTATAACAGTAAGTCTAAAATGAAATCATAACCATATAACAATAAAACGGTTATCATTACGTGAAAAGCAAGCAAAGAAAATAAAAAATAACCTCCATTTGCCTATAAAGTTCTTTTTTTGCTTTCGTCTGCCCATCTTCCTCTTTGACATTCTCTTCATTCACCAGAGGTGCTGATTGCTTTGAACTTTTAAAGACATTGAAACCCTCCACCGATTCTTTTTTCAACAAAATAAATGGGAACAAAAAAAAGATTCAGCTATGAAAAGTTAAACCGCAATACTTAACAACTACGCCAATGCAAATAAAAAAAAAACAGTTACCAGAGACAATTGCCTTGCGCTTTCTTCCATTGACAGACACCTTAACTTCCTCTGGTTCAGTTTTTTCACTCTCAAACAAACTAAAATCCTCCACTGAATTATCACTCTCTTTCTTCTCCTACATGAAACATAAGTTTCAACACGAGAACAAGTAATTCAAAGGTCTAATTATTTTCCCAAAAAGTAAAACAGATAGCATGTCGTATAAACTATTACCTGAAACCTGGAAAAATCACTTGAAAATTTCTTTTTATTAAAATTGACGCCAGCGAACAAAAAATTAGCGCCTTTCTCCATTGCACTCTCTAAAAAAACTTTTCAACTCGCTTACCTGATTTCGACAAACTACAGATTGATTAAGCCTATTATCAGAACAAGAAGACAGAAGAGAAAAAATTAAATACAGCTCAACCATAAAGGTAAGATAATAACATCAAATTCGTGATCTTACATTCGTAATGACATAATCAAAATAACAGTTACAATGTATTGAATAGTTAAACACAACATACAGAGATTTAAATTTTTACTCGATAAGATATAGCTAAGTTCGAAAGCCAGAATGTAGAAGAGAAAATAATTTACCTTCGGAAAATTTCGCAGAATGTTCTTTAAGTCCAAGGCTCCAAACGCCGGCTGCGGGGTTTATGTTATAACTTATAAACCCTGCCCTTTTTTCTTTCTTTCTTCTGTTTCTTTTTCTCTCTTTTTTTTTTTTTTAATTTTTATAAATATGCTTCATTTGAGGCCCTTCAATGTTGTGTAAAATAACATTTGACACCATTAGGGTTTGCATTTTCTTATTTTAAACAGGGACGACTTTTAGTATTTTTGATTGGTAAATTTTTCGATTCAATGGCCCATTATGGGTCATTCAGGATTGATCAAAGGAAACAGTTTTATATTATGATCGAGTGAATGTGATTTTAATCAATTGCATTTGATCATTGTTGATTAACTTAGTAATAGTTCATAATTTTAATTGGATTTATAAATGTTTAGTGAATATAAATTTTATCAAAAAATAATATAAGGTTAAAGAACAAAAAAAATATGCATCAACCCTAAACTAAATCAATCAAATATTTATCAAAACATGTTTTTCTAAACCATGATCAAATTGACAGGGGAAAAGTAAAAAAAAAAAAAAAAATTTTTTTTTTTTTTTTTTTTTTTTTTATTTTTTTATAACATTACGCAAAAGATCAAAATATTGTTAATCCGAAATAAATTTAAAGTTTTCACTGGAGAAGAGGAAAAGTAATCAAATATCACACACATTTGAACGAAATTAAATCCATAATTTACATGTTCTGTAAGAACATATTATACAACACTGCCTAAAGACTAAAGAACAGATACTACAAACATCCATTGGCACTACTAATCAAACCCAAATCATGATGGTTAATGGATCCTCAACAGCCATCTTTATATTACATAAATCATTGCCGAAGATTAGTCAGAGAAGGTCAAGGTTATATGAGGGAGGATCAGAACAGGAAAACGTCGCTAATCATAGCATCATGCAGCCTAGTCATCGAGACCATAGTCTTCCCCGAAGTATTTATCAACCAGACCATTTGCCATGTTTCTTAGGTCTTCATTTTCATGGAACTGAAATCTTTCCATAGCATCGATTCCATCCTCCTGCTCTACAAGTTTTGGGCCCTCGCCATTGGGCATCCCTCTCAAAACCTACATGCACATTAATTTAAATAACTTCAGTTAGTTCACAAAGTCATATAATAATTCTTTGAGCAATGAAGACTTTCATTAAGACTGAGATACAAGACAAGTCTAGCATCCCACTAGCAACACAATGAGCAGAAAAAAGGAGTATTAAAATAAGCTCAAAGAAAACTGAGCTTTATAGTGCAATTTGCTATTTAGAAACGGAAAGCCATAGTAAAAAAACAATGTTCAAACTCTATGCATAAACTAAAGAGAGAATGTTAAAAGAACAAGATTAGCTTACAAGCTCCATGAATTGAAGGCCTAGTCTGGCAGCCTCAATGTCGGCAGACCTAACCAAATCAATGAAACCAGGAAGGCATCCCCTACTGACCAGGGAAATCAAGTGTTCCTGAATCAATCTTGGCTTCCCATCACCTTCGGTTGGGGAAACACAGAGGTTACCCAAAACATATGCTACTTCCTTTCTTATATCAGATTGTGACGTGGAAAGAAGATGCAGTAACAACGCCAGGGCCTCACTGGAACATATTAATTGCTTGTGTTCTACAGAACCAGCAGCAATATTAGATAGCACCCAAGCTGCTTCCTATATTAACAAAAAAGAATCAATAAGAATGCGCTGCGATGGTTAGCTTTAATTCGACCAAAAAAAAAAAAAAAAAAAAAAAATAATAATAATAATAATAACAATAATACTAACCTTCTTCAAGACCCTGTGCTCACTCTTCAAGCATTTTACTAGAACCTCTATAACTTTATCTGGAAATGTTATCTTCTATGTTAGTTTGGCAAATATAATATGCGATGCCAAGAAATGCTTCTCATATTAGCAAGCAGGAAGTAGTTAACTAGCCTGTGATTTCACGTCCAGGAACAAGAATATCGCAAATTGTGTTTGAATCACCAGCCACAAGATTACCTAAGCTTCGCAGCACCTATGAAGAAACTTGTGTCAATAAACCACAGGCCAAGGGATTAATGCTCTTAAGAACAGTTCATATCCATATAAGTTAAAGTACTATGCAATGATACATGCATATTAACATATTGCTTGAAAGGATGACATAGAATAAATGACATTGCAACTTAATTTTTTTTTTCTTAAATTTACATGATTGTTGAAGATAAATTGCAACTTGCATTGAATTCAAACATAGAGTCATACCACCCTTTTCTTATAGGCTCTTGTCAATCCACATGATGAAAGATTACAAATTATAAAAAAGTAACACTAAATTCACTATTTTTTATTCATATTAGCTGCAGTACTATGCAATGTTACACGCACATCCATTTTTGTAAGTTCAATAACATTCTTTCCTTATATGCTCCTTATCCTGATATCATCCACACTATGAAAAATCAGAATTATAATAATATAATATTATATTTGCACACAGAACACTATTTTCAGGAGGATAACATCTACTGCAACAATCACAATGGAAGTTTCAGAAATGATGATTTTAGGCAAGTAACGAATTGGTATTTATGGTTCAATTTCCGATTATTGAAGCAACAATCACATTGGAAGTTTCAAAAATGATGATTTTAGGCAAGTATTGCAAATTAATTAGAGCATGCAGACAAAGTAACCATCTCAATGTTTGTATTGTAAAGATGATCATATTCGTCAGAAAAATATTTAATTGAAATTTTCAAAAGGAGGCAGTCACTCATTTTGCATCTTACTGGGATGAGTAACTGCAAGCTATTTGCTGTAGCCAATCTTTCTACAAGTTGTGGAAGGACATCACTCTTCACCAGCATACTAGTAGCAACATTTGAAAGGGCTGACAGATACACAACTACCCATGCAACTTCAGTTGCCAATTCCTCATTCCTGAAATAAACAATTTATTTGATTATATGAAATTTTTTGTCTAATATGACGAGTTTCCAAGGTTAATTTTTCCAGTGACAAAAAGACATTTATATTTGAGAAATAAAATGAACTTTTCCAAACCAAACAGGTAATCACGAACTGAAATACAACTACAAGATCAATTTGCCCAAATGATGAGGAATAAGAAGCCAGGTGAATTTTCAAGATTCTAGTAAATTTAAATCTCCATCCCAAGTTTTTGTATGAAATACTTCTCAGTAAAATTCCTCAACATGAAAATAACATAATGGATAGCATCCATTTTTGCACCAATATTCTGGATTTGTTGAAGTTTTCAACAAGCAAATTAACCCAAAACCAGGGCCTTAATAGGAAAAATTTTTCTATTTTCAAACAAAAAGTGAACCCTAGCAACATCGTTACATTAAATTTTACCAGTTTGAAGTTTTTTTTAATTGCATTTCAGTAGAAAGCAAATTTCCCAGACACGAAACAATAGCTAGGACAAAAGGCAGGGCTTCCTACAGTTGGGAAGAAGTAAAAACTTTCAGATGATTAGCCCTTTTCCTAGTGGGAAAAGTTTTGGTTTCTTCAGCAGGTTTCACCTTTATATAAAAAATTATACTCTGAAATGATTTTGCTTTAGTGTTGGAGTGTTACGGTATAGATTTCACCAAGAGATGTCACAAATATCATAATTAAAGAATAAATCTCAAATAGAAAAAATGGCTCTACGGTATAGAATCAAAAGCTTCCATATATAAAGGTTCAAGGTGTCAGTATAACAAAGCTATACACCAAACCCTAACATCCAGAATTGATTATGACTAATATCAGGAATCAAGAGACAAATTGCAACTTACGCTTTTTTCAAATGACAAAGAATTGCATCCAGTACTCCATTGACTCTAATGAGTTCTGATGCAGCTTTAGGATCTGGTCCCTAAATCCAAGCACATTGGAGTTATGTTGCAAATTAAATTTGATAAGGATATACACATGAACGAATCCACAAAAAAGCCATGAATACAATTTGAAAAATTCATGAAAGCATACACAAATACAAGCTGCACACATATAACTCAAACCACATCATTACACATGCATATTTGCAGCTTTTTTCCCAATTAAGAAAGAGATCAAAACCTTGATTAGATTTGACAATGCCCAAGCAGCTGTTCTCACAGTTGAACCCTTATTTGGCAGCATCATTCTTGCCAAAGGTGGTAAGGCCCCTTGGGCAAGCAAAACATCTCTTAACTCCTCTTCTTCACCAGCAACATTTCCTAATGCCCATGCGCACTGCTCAGCAACCGGCAAGGAACTCTTTTCTACATAAAGAAGTCCAGTCACAAGTAAAATTTTACTGAATTATTTATAGAAATCAATAGTTTATAAATGTCCAAGAAAGCAAAAATCATCCATCTTTAGCAATGAAAGTGGGTCCAGACTGATTTGAAATTCTTTTACAGACTATAAACACCAAAGGCTGCAAAACATAGGATATATACAATGAAATATCAGAAGATGAGGAAAGTTATTTCTTAATAAAAATAAAAATAAAGAGCAACAGCCCAAATTTACCTCCCAGGTGAGCAATAAGCAATGGTAATGCAGGCAGCAAGGCCTTTGTTTCCTCTTGTTTTCCTGCTGCAATGTTTGTAAGACACCAAGCTGCCTCAAGAAGCTGTAATATAAGCAACAAAAATAACATAATTAGAATATTTATATTTCCCTACATGGTTGACCAACACCAAAGGGCCTGTCAAGCATATATCAGTTAAACTCCATTTATTCCATGAAAATAAGATTGCAAGGAAAACAATTTCTGCATTTTCCAGTGATTGTGCAACACTAAAAATATTAAATGGAAAATAATATTTAAAACTTCATCAAACTATTAACAGATTTAAAGATGATACATCATTTTCTGAAACGTGCTGAAACCTTCCATAGTTACTTATCGACAACCAATAATTAGCACCTCATGTATGGTAATCATGTTCTAACAATGGTTACGTTAACCACCTCGACCTCCACAAACTGTTGCTTTTAGTAACTGTCATAGTTGGCTAATGGTAACTGCCATTGGCAATCATCAATTTTTGTTAGCAATTACATCGGACAACCATTATTAGTCTTTGACAATTCACAGCGTCATTAACTGTTACCATGAACTATGAACAACCACGTCTTTTGTCACAATTGATTACTGATAATCACCATTATCACCGATTATTGAAGCTCATCTGTATTGTGAATGACAATTATTCATCATTGTTAATCCCTGGAAACTAACATTCCACAGATTTTCTTTTGCACACTGAAAATTGAAAACTTGTGGATCATTAGTTAATTGACAGCAACTATTTTCTTATAAATTTTCTGATATGCCATGAAAACTGAAAGTTATGCAAAAACTGGTCATCTTTCTTATAAATATTTCACATTGAAAATTCTTTCCGATAGAAAAACACTTCCAACAAAACAAATGGCTTATAGATGCATAACTTTTGATATCTTCATAATAATAAAACAATGAACCCAACAAATAGGAAACATTTTTCAGACCTGTTCATCTGGAGATCCAAATGAAAGACACTGCACAAGGGTGGATATTGCTCCTGCTTTAAGAGCAGTTTCTACAGGAGGGAATTCAAATCTTGACAATATACGCCTCAGTTCACGAAGGGCGTCCACCCTTTTATGCATTGCTCCTTTCCCCCTACCAATGCAAGAAAAAAGATAGAGTTAGCCGTCTCAGATAAGTAATACTTTATAAAAAGGAATCAAGCAAGAACCCATTTATCAAAGACCACCATGCTGATAGACAACCATCTCAAGCTACGGGAGAACAACTACAGAGAGCATCACTCATAGTGACTATAAATTTTCCCTCCATAAAGAAGGACCAATTTTTCAAAAGTTCTGCTTCCGAAAGTACTAAGGAACCACTCTTACATTCTTAGAGGAACCACCTCCTATGTACACTTCTAAATTTTAGAATCTAATCATCAAAACCTCACAGAAAATATTGATCATATGTTTTCCTAGGCCCTAGTATACAGTTTGGTGCACGTTCTTCCGTTTTCCCAAATCACTATATAGTTGCTCTGTATAATAGTCCCCATACTTCCTATATATCAAACTTTGCTCAGTGCTTTCTCCTGTCATCAACAGTTCTGCATTCCTAAAGTAGACACCACCATCATCTCCTCTGACCAAGTCACCCTATATATAATCTGTTATGAGCAGCCAAAATCTAAGTAAAACAAAAAGACTGATCATGAAGCAATAAACCGGACCTTACCAGAAACTTGTACTTGTCAATGATATACAGATAAAATACAAACTAGTTTCAGAAAAATGCAAAACCAGAAGGATAAGAAGATGAATAAATAATTAGGCAAGCACTTAAGCAGAATGAATCACATATTGAACAAAAGCACCAGAAAAATAATAACTTCCCTACCCCCACTTCACACAACAGAATCAGACTGTGGATGCTCAGTCTTATCCAGCTAAGATAATGCTATACAAGAAGCCAAGATTAAGCAATACGGAATAATTTGCAAATATAATTAGAGTAATATTACACCAACATCTCTTTCTCTCACAACCCTGACTTGGTAACTCACAATTAATTAATGAGACCCATGTGGGACCCGTTGTGAACTAATCAATTGCAAGTTGCCACGTCAGGGTTGTGAGAGAAAGTTTGTGAGAGAGAGTTGTTGGTGTAGTATTACTCATACAATTATGTCCCCACTATTTTATACATTGAAATGCATGATTGACATACTGATAAGCAACAGCAGACTTCAGCTCCTCCACAGCCGCAGCAGTTTGTGTCTCCAAAATCGATTGCTCTTCATCAACCATCATATCATTATCAACGGATACTTCACTATCACCACTAGTCCCCACTCTACACAGGCGCTTCGCACGCACCAACGATTCTCTTCTTTCTTTCCCCACAGTAACAGCATTTTGCCTTCTCCGTTGTGCCGCCACATTCCCAACTAGAAAACAAAACACACCACCGCCGTTTCACAAGCAAACGAGACAGTTCGATAATAAAGATTTCGAATTAAATAACAAATAAACACACAAATAAGCACACGTGATCCATTGATTAATCTTTTTCGGCTAGGAACCTAATTTAACTATTAGCCGAACTCTTGGCGAGTTCACCATAATTTCTCAAACCTTAAACACCAACGAAACCAAGCGTCTACAATTTTCTCGGGAAACAAACTAATCAATGGTTTCATTTGAATACAAAACCTAGTATAAGAGAGATTAAGGAACTAACCTGAAGACTTGATGGGGTCTCTTCTGTGAGGAGTTAACCCTTCATCGGCCATCTTAGAGAAAGCTATGAGATTGTATTTTCCAGCGGAGTAATGAGAAGTCAAAGAAGTTTTTTGAATGTAAATTCGAAAACCCCAAATTACAACGATCGATCGCTTTTTCACGCGCCCAAGCGCGAAATTTCTCCGCCTTCGATTAATCGCTATTTATTAAACTGCCCTGATTTTTCTAAATTTACGACGGTGTACCCATAAACTTTCGATATTTAATTATTTAATCGACATATGATTTTATTTTAAAACATGATTTTCGAGTAATAAAACAATTTTTTTTTTTTTTTTATATCAATTTAATAATTTTCTCGAGTTAGATTTAATTTGGAATTGAGTTAAGTGAGCTGTTTTACGGTTGAAGACCTCAAATAATAAGTTTAGAAGCTTCTTATTAATACATTTATGGAAATAACATGGTTAAGATGTAACTAGTTAACCCAAAGGGGTTGGCCTGACGGATAGAAAGGTTTGCTCCCTTAATTGACTTTCTGGGTTCGAACCACCTTGGGGTTATCTACTGCATTTATGGCTTACCTAGGAATATTGAGTTTGTAGGGTGTTCAATGGTCCCCGAAGATTAGTTGAGGTGCTAGTAAGCTGGTTCAGACACCCCGTCATTTAAAAAAAAAAAAAAAAAAAGGATGTAACTAGTAGGAATCCATTTCATATTGTGTTATAATTACACAACAACATAATTAATGGAATTTAATTTTAATTGACTATAGTTGTATATTGAATATTTAATATATTGAAGTAATTAGTTAATTCAAGATATTTAAATTATTTGATAAACCATAAATTGAACATACATCTAAAGTTTGATTTTTAATTTTAAGGATAAAAATATTGGAATTTAAATATTGATAAGTATATTTTCAATAAAATGAGTAATAATATATTATGAGAAAATAAGTAATTAGGTCTTACCAATCAAATCAAGTACACTCTATATCCTCATGTTATTAATGAAGTAGAATGTCAAATAAGCATGCTAATTTTAAACAGTCATAACTTTTTATCTCAGAGAAGTTACAGGACTCATAAGATATCAATGGAAAGTTCATTTCGAGTCTGACAATATAATAACCTGGGCCATTTTCGAGGCCAAAATCTGCCTTTTTAATGTGTTTTGGGGTTGTTTAAGTTTTATGTGTATTTTTCCTATTTTATTTAGAGTCATTTCTTATTATAATTAGTCAACCGTCATGATTTATTCTTTTAATTAATTTGCATGTTTAATTAGGATTGTATTTCCTTATTTGATTGGGAGTCTTGTTAGGGTTAGTTGTCACCACCCTATATAAATATATTATTCGTTTTTGGAAGTTATTCAACGATTATTCAAATTTTACTTCAGACTTTAAGACCTAAATTCCTGTGATTAAGACTTGTTTATCAATTGTAAAAATATAGTCGAGTACTAGCGTTGTTTGTTATGCTAACTCGTTGCATCAATTAAGCACCAAACATGCATCAATTAAGCACCAAACATATCATCTAAATCATAATAAACACATTTGTTGATACATAAATCTGCAATAACCAACGAGATCCGATCAACCTTGTTGGGATCAAAACTGATGTGTGCGTGATTACGGGTAATCAGCGATGAGTGAATGATAACGTCAGAAAGTAAATGACAAAGAGAACTTTTAAAGTGTTCGGTGAAGTTAAACAGCCTACGTCCACTGTGTCTTTTGTATATGTTGTGAGAGCTTACAATGTAGTTTTAATTCAAAATTCGTATCCCCCTCCTCATCGTTTTAGGGGGTTTATATACAAGATTTACATAAAGGAAAGAGCGAAATTAAGGGGATTACAAATGGTTTGAATCATATTTTCGATATCCTTGCGATTGGGCACTATGATCGCGCAACGACAACTGTTGATCCAGTCATTCTCGCGATAACCAGGATCTGAAGTAATCTGGGGGTTGATTGATTAATTCCTCACATTGCCGCGACTAGCTTGTGCTGAGTCGAACTACGACTCGACGAGTTTATGCTGGTCGATCAATCATAGTTGCCGAGATCATTATGGGTCAAGCTATATCCTCACGTTAGCCCGAACTTGGCGGAAAAACCACACACACCCTTAGTGTTTGATGTTCGTTTCGGGCTTCAAAGACTATTTCGCTCAATTTGACCCCAAGCTCGACTTCAATAGTGAGTCTTTGAGTGCACGCTCAATCGGGCTTCCACGACACCTTACATCTGGTCGACTTTCTTCACACTTAGACATTATTACATGTGCCACCTGTCAAAACTCAGAATACAAAAAGTCAGTGTATAAATGTAATTTTTGCGTGGTCGTGTCACATTAAATGTAGCAGCATTTGTTAGTTATGTTTCGTCACGCGAGAGTGATAACAGTTGTTCATGCGCGAAGTTAAGGCATCGTGCGGCGACAGTTATCATTTTCAACGGTTCGTCACACCTTGTGGATGGTTGACACATGGCCACGTCCAAGGGCTGAGATCGCTCAATGAATGAAGTGCTAGGATCTGTTGTAAGTCGATGGTCGAGATTGAACCCACCCTTTCGCCTTACATGCAAAAATCATTATAAAAGGTGGCGAATATTCAAAACAGCCATCCTGAAAGTTCTTCTACCCTCTTGCTTTTCTTTGTCGTTGTTCTTACGTCGTTGCAGTGGTTTTTCTTACGAGTTCTTAGCGTTATTCTTTATTTCGGTAAGACTTCTTTCTCTTCCTTACTCATTTTTCTGACTTTTGTGCTAAAGGGTGGCTGTTGTAGTGGCCACATTGGATGTTTTAAGGTTTTAGTAGGGTTTTTGGGGTGCATTTCTAGTGGTCTCGGGTTTTAAAGCGGTTTAATCGCGGTGGCCACTAGTGTCTTGGGTAGGCTGCGTGACTTCGTTTTGTTGCACGAGCTATTTCGAGTGCCTAAGATAGAAGCAAATGTGGAATGGTCGCCGAGTTGTTCAAGCTCTAACACATGTTTGCTTTTTTTTTTCAAGTACCCAAAGTTGAGTTACAACCATGTCCTCGTCTAGCAGTCGCACAATGGATCGAATGTTCGATTCACCGGTTGGCTTGGCAGCACTAGGGGATTTGTCCCCTAAGATATCCAAAGAATTTGTCTGCAGAAGCTCGGACCTCGACGTTGCGGGCTTGTTCGACCGTGCTTTGATCCAATTGGCTCATTCCCCGTCGTCTCCAGCTCATAGGCTACGAAAAGAGCCACAGTCCTCGATCACCCTCGGGGATCTTGAATGCATCAGGACGACCTACGCGTCGTAGCTCAACCTGATGGTCCCGGGAGAACACTCTCAGAAGAATCCTCCAATTGGATAAGTGGAAATTTTCGAGACTCTCCTTAGGTGCGGGGTATCCATTCCCCCGTACCTTTTCATCGATAAAGTGTTGAGGCGATTTGACATCGCTCCTCTCCAATTGACGGCTAACTCTTACTTGATCATTACCGGGGTATACATCGTGTACGTGATCGCTGAGCTAGGCGAGCCATCCGTCGAAGAGTTTGTCCACTTGTACAGGCTCAAAAAGGGTCAAAGCCAATCGTACTACCTTTCCAAGGTAAGGAAAGTACGTTTCAACGGGCTGGTTGATGTCCCGAAGAAAGTCCCACATTGGGATTCCCAATTCTTCTTCTATGAAGCCGGGACGAGCAGTGTCTTCGTTCCAGAAGCGAGTAAGGCTTTGATCGCTCACGTACACCAGGACAAGTTTTGAGCTTTGCTTCATTATCCACCGAATTACTTTCTATTATAGTTAACGTCGAGCAGAACTATCTCCCAACGGCAAGCTTGCAAAGGCTGTAGTGTTTCAGCGATCTTCCTGACAATTCACGTAACGCCCACAAGCTTCTTATGCTTCCTTAACTAAAGTTGTACGACTTTTGTACGGACGAGGCCAGATTTTTAGCGCTTTTGGAAAAAGGTAAGTTGTTGCTTGCTCGCGTCTGATTTCTCACGCAAATTGATCGCTAACTCGTTTCCCTTTTTCCATGCAAATTTTGGGTTGAAAAACCCAAAAGCCTTAAGAAGAAAACGGCGGCCTCAACGACTACCCAGAAATTATAGGAGGTCATTCATCGATTGACTTTTCTTTCCTTCCGCGAGCTTATCAGAAAGAGGTCGAAAGGATGCAAGTCGAGGCTTAGGGGATGACCTATGTGTACTCAGATGATTCCGGGGATGACGGCGAGGGCCAGGAAAAGGTCAAGGGAGGTGGCGAAGAGGCTTGGCCTAATTTGGAGGTCGAAGTTCCTCTGACCACAGTCCTCCTAAGCGAGGTTCCCGAACACTAGGTCGAAGACGAACGCCCTGCTCCTCCATCAGCCTGAGGAATCTTAGTCCTTTTTTTTTGTTTTTTTATTGCCCAAATGTAATTAAACTTTTAGTTAATGAAAGAACATTTTTCAACGTTTCTCTTTCGAGCAATGATTGTTTCATTTCTGCGGAGTCATTTAATTTGTCCTAATCAGACTTTGGGACCCGAATTTTGCTATAAGTCATGCGTAGTTTGCTTCTTTAGGAGCTTTTCGGATTTTTTTGCGAAAAAATCTTTATGCGACGTTTGGCATCGATTTTGGACTCGTCGTCCTTTTCAGGCTTTCGTTGTCGGCTTAAGGCCGATTTTTTCCGACGTGCTTTTTCTTGGATTTTTCCAAGTTTAACTTCATCAACCTGGGATTTTCAATCCCGATTTATGTGAGGAAATTTGATGCGACGATAAACTTAGATTTTAGACGTTATTGTCCCTTTCGAGTTCTTTGGTCGCGGGCTTAGAGCCGATTTCCTTCGACGTGTTTTTTACTTGATTTTAAAACTCAAGTTTAACTTCGTCAATTTAGGATGTTTTATCCTCAAAGAGTTGGATTTTGGCGTGGCTTTTTCGAGGTAAGTTGCCTTTCCTGGACTCTTGACTCCTAGTTTTCTTTTGGAATTCCATCAGTTAGTTCACAATTTATTGATCGGTAGTTAATTGCTGACGAACTAAAAAATGTAAATTATGAACAAAGCAAGTACTGAATAATACCTCTCTTATTGATCAAGTATTTCGGCCGTAAACAACCTTACAACAAATGCAGTTCCTAGAAATAAATAGAACCTGA